CAAGTGGTACCCCAATAATCTCACATGCGGGATATCAAACGAAGGGAGAGGAGGAGGACGAGGAGGCGGAAGAGGAGGGGGACGGGCAGGAAGAGGATGAGGAGAAGGAGGAGAGGAGCGTTGAGGAGTCTCGGCCAATTAGCCGAACGCGCTCCGCCAATGGGGAACTCAATGATCTGAGGCCGATTAGCGGATCGCCGCCCTGTTATCATAGGAGCGAAGTAATCCAGGTGCCCTGGTTCGGGGCCAGTCAACAGAGCGCCGCCCCGCGAATGGGTGCCATGCGATCAAAATCCCTTGGTTCGTGGCCAATGAGCGGAGCGCCAGTCCGTAAAAGTCGACGCGACAAAACCCGGGAGCCTCCAGATCCGAGTTTGCAAAGAATCTTCAGGATTGAGGATTGAGGGATTGAGCACGGGACTTGAGGACACGCCCATTCCGTGCCCAAGGGCACGTTGGCGGAGACAGGTTTTTGATGTTGCTTATCTACACTTATAAACATGCACATAAACATATTCGTTTACATATACGTATACATGTTAAATAGACATGTCCATATATCTAGACATGCGCATTGTACACATCTGCAAATTTATGAACATGAAAATACATACACGCATGTATACGCATACGTATATGTATATACATACATACATATATATGTATATATGTATACGTGCGCGTTGCAAAAATATGTTCGCAGGGGTCTCGACCCCTCCCCCAGAACTAGCTATTCTTCCTCAGCCGTTGTTGTTTCGGTCCTGAGGCCCGGCGAGGGCCCCCAGAGGCCGAAAGCCCAACCCATCCGCCGCGATTGCACGGGGCTCATGCTGCGCGGCGCGCTGCACGTCAAAGAGGCAGACATTGCCGCCTCACGTTTCTGTGCGTCGCCTCTGTTTATCGTATATAATACAGAATGCCTCAGACTGTAACGGAATGTGACATAATTGTAAATTGCATAATGTAATACAAGAGAACAGTATGGTATACAATTTAACGCGATCGAGTAGAATAGTACGTTGTATCGTTGAATATGGTATAACCTGTTATGATAGCAGACCGTATGCGACATAACACAGTGCAAAACACACAAATTATGACGTAACCCACTGAATACATGAAATGCATAGACGATGAGATAAAGCAATACAATGTTGACACGAATACTAGTCACAACAGGCACGCACCTATATACACACTTACACATGTATAGTACGCCGTGTTGTGTTATAGGATAGATCGGCATATCTCATCATGCCATTTAACGTATTATGAACCAAGACAACGCATTACACGTTAATATAACATAACGTAAGATACGGAACAATACCATGATACAAAGGATGAAATGATATCTTGTCATATGATCTATCAGCCAGCGTTGACTCCAAATAGATAGGAGGACAGGAGAAGGCAGAGAGGAGGATGGGAGGAGGACGAAAGTAGGACGGGAGCAGGACGGGAGGAGCAACATCAAACAAGCGCAAGCAAGCAAGCAGAAGCAAGCAAGCGCAGGCGAGCATAGGCATAGCATAGGCATAGGCATAGTCGTAGGCATAAGAGTTAGGGGGGAGGCATACGCATAGACATAGGCATCGCCATTGGAATTAGGGGGGGGGCATAGGAATTAGGGGGGGCACGGGCCAATTAGTAGGGTTTGAGTTAGAACGCCTATACGGCAAGCCCAGTTGGATAATATTGGAATTCAATACATTACAATAGAATGCATTGTGGTACAGTATGATGTTGTTTAATAGTATACGATATGTTATCATATATTCCAACCAATAGAATGTAACGCCCGTTATTGTAAGACACATAATACAATGCACGATTAATATTGTAAATGCGTACACTGCATTAAGATAGTATAGGTCAATCTGAATAATATAGCGGATGGGCACGCCTTCTAACATATTATATCATACGATAACAAATTGTGTTACAAGGTATGACAACATAAAATAGCAGTGTACACATAGCATAAACTATAGTACTACTATACGAAGATGATACGATGTAAGATAGTAGATCATTCAATGCTTAAAATTATAAAAAGGGGTCTGGGCCCCCCGCCCCCCGCCTCGGGGTGCGCCACCTGTCGACGTGCACGCGCGGATCCTGGTCGGGCCCCTCTCCCCGGAGCCCGATCGGTGCCGCTCCCCGGGGCCGGCTCCTCGCCGCGCGGTGCGGCCCCGGAGATCGGGCCTTCCTTCGCGAGGGGGGTTGGGACCTCCCTCCTCCGCAGCACGTGGACGCGTTCGGTCCACACCTGCGCAGGCGCCCGCAAGATGCTCTGCCGCCACCGCTGCTCACGAGGGGCAGGCTCTGCGACAGGCCTGCAGAGGCGCGCCCGCGCAACTCCGAGGCTGTGAGGCCCTCCTCCGCGGAGGCCTGGCTGCTCCCTCGGGGGCTGCGGACTGCGCAGCTGTCGCCACTCTCGCGTGCTCCTGGCAGGCCTCGCGGCCGCTTTTATCGAGCAGTGGCGGAGCGTCCTGGCTCGCCCACACAGGCCCACCAAAGAGCGTTCTAAGATCCGTTTGTGGTCTGGACGGCATGTTCTTAGAACGCGTCAGGCTGAGACTGTAGCGTTTCAACACAAAGGCTTATAGTATAGAAACTTTTTTTGTTATTGGAACATTTCTGAGTTCTGAGAACATGTCGTGGTAGGCCTATAGAAGTGCCGTGACGGTCGGTCCCTGCTCAAATTTCTGCTTGTCTTTCCCTCCTGCCGCGGGTTGACTTGCGCTGTCTGTTGCCCAGACCGCCTGAGCGCGCGTGCGGGTTGCCTCTGCCGCGCTGCGACGGAACAGAGTGCTTCTGGCAGGGTGCAGCAGAGCGTGTAGTCACGCGGACCTCTCGGCTCCTGGGCGGGCTGCGAGGAGGCGCCCCCGTCTTGCTTCTGCTTGGCGGCGCGCCGAGGGGGGAAGGCGAGAAGGCGGCGTGGCCTTCCCAGAAGGCGGCGTGGCTTCTCAGAAGCCCTCGCGCCGTCTGAGGAGGAGGAGGAGGAGGAGGAGGAGGAGGAGGAGGACGGCCTCTGAGGCGCTCGCTGAGCCACCTCCGCAGGCACGGGGGGGGCGCCTCGGAAGGCCCGAGGGCCTCTGAGAAGCCCCGCAGCCTTCTGGGGCAGGCCCGCCCGCCCTCACTCGCTTCGCCCCCTCGGTGCGCCGCCGACCCAAGGGGTACGTACGGGGGGCTCTTCTTGAGTCGGGTCTGTTGTGCCTTCGGGGGAGGCTCAGAAAATTCCTCTGCTGGGGAAACAGACGGCTCGAGCTTTCGCCAGAACTCGGGTGTGCCGACGCCTTCTGAGATTGGACGGGCCCTTCCTGGACTTGGGCGGTCGAGTTTCTGTGGGACGTTTGCGGTCGCGTTGGCCCGCACGCCTGCCGCCAGCACGACCGCCAGCACAACCACCGCGTGCCTGCCCACCACGCCTCCCGCCGCGACCACCAGCAGGACCGCCACGAGCCCGACCACCACGAGCCCCACAACGACCACCACGCCCGCTGGCACGACCACCTCACCACGCCCGCCCCCGCCCTCCTCCGCCCGCTCTCCTCCTCCCTCGCCCTCCCGGCCCCCTGCTGGGCCGCCCCTTGCCTGCGCCTCTTCCTGCAAAATTGCACCGGTTACACATCATCATTGCGCCAACATCGCAGAGCGGATTTTGATCTGAAAACGATTGAGTGGGCCCGGATTGTCCTGGAGAGGTTCGTTCCGAATTTCCAGGTGAATTTCGTGCGGTTTTTTGTTGGCCAGGGATGAAGACTAAGCAAAAATCCGCGCGAAATTCACTTCGTCTTTCACTCGCCGTGTCGAGGTTTTGCAATGGCAGAGATCCACGGAAAAATCCGCTGCAGCACGTCTGCAAGGTCGGTGCAGTGAGAAGACACCGCCAGGCCAAGAGTGCCACGGGGCCAGTCCTCAAAGAGGCTGCGTCCGCGCGGTGGCTGGCGAGGGACATGGGACCATAACCCCAACGCCCGGGGGGCCCCCCTGAATGATGGAGGTGGGGACCCACTCTGGTGTCCCCGGACTTTTCTTTGGGGGGTCGGGAGGGAAGGCAGGACGGAGGGAGGGAGGGAGGAGGGAGGAGGGAGGAGGGAGGGAGGGAGGAGGAGGAGGTGGAGGGAGGAGGGAGGGAGGGAGGGGAGGCAGAGAGGGAGGGAGGGAGGGAGGCAAGGAGGGAGGGAGGGAGGGAGGGGGAGAGAAGAGGAGGAGGAGGTGGTGGAGGAAAAAGACGAGAAGAAGGGAGGAGGAGGAGGAGGAGGAGGCGGAGGAGGAGGAGGAGGAGGAGGAGGAGGAGGAGAAGGAGGAGGAGGAGGAGGGAGAGGAGGAGGAGGAGGAGGAGGAGGAGGAGGAAAGGGAGGAGCAGGAGGAGCAGGAGGAGCAGGAGGGGAAGAAGGAGGAGGATGAGGAGGTGGAGGAGCAGAAGTGGTGGGCTGGGCGCAAGGAGAAGGGAGGACGAGGGAGGTGGGGGGAGGGAGGAGACTCGGGCACGTGCCGCTCCACGCGCCCGGGCGAGCCAGGCGCCGGAGGCGCGCGCCTGAAGGCGGGCGCGGGCGCGGCGAGCGCTTCCCGGAAGGAGGCGCCGCAGGGGTGGCACGCCAGCCAGCCGCCGGCGGGGGGAACAACAGGCCCAGACCCCGTCGGCGAGGATCGAGGTTGGGAACCCGAGGACCGAGCGAGGTTCGAGTCTTTCTGGCCTTCGGGGGCCCTCCTCGTCGCCACGGCTGGGCGCGGCTCGGAAGACTGGTGCGTTTGGACCCCGGCAGGGGTCTGGGGACCAATTGTGAGCGGATTTCGACATCCCTCGCGACGTGACAAAAATCACGACGGATGATGCTTTGCCCTTTTCGCTCTGGGGGCTCTCACCTGGCCTCGGGGCCGGTCCCAGGAAGGGGTCCAGACCTCTGGAGTGTCCACGACAGCAGTGGCAGAAGAAGCAGGAGTGAGAGTACGAGCGGGGGGAGTGGAGACCTCCTTCTCCCTCCGCCAGTGCTCAGCCCTTTTGGCTCAAGGGCGCATCCCTTCGGCCTCCGAGCGTGACCGCGTTGCGGCTTGCCCTGCTGAACCCGGGGCCCTCGTCCCTGCCCCTTCCGAAGAGATGGCCATGAGCTGTGAGGCCGATACCGTCGTGGACATGATCTACAAGCCAGAGATCAATGTGGGCCGCCCCCCTCCCCCGTGGACGATGGAGGCTGGAGGATCGAGCTTCTTGGGCACAGGGAGGCCACGGAGGCCCCCTGGCTGGAGAGATCTCCTGAGAGATCTCCTGAGACCTCCAGGGGGGGGGGGGCGTGGCAGCAGCATCCTTCCCCATTGGCCTCGCCCTCGAGGGGCCCAGAAGTTGCCCCGCCCTCGAGGGGTCGAGAAGCTGACCCCTGTCGCCCTCGGCGGGGGCCGCTGGAAGACGGCGGACTTGGAACGAGTCGTTCTCTGACGACCACAGTGCCCGAGGCAGGCCTCCTCAGGGGCAACGATAGGGGGGGATCGGCATAGGGGGGCGCATCGACCCCAAATCGCCCAATGATCGCCGGCAGGGGCCCGATAGCCCCAGCTTGCCCAGGCACGTACGGGTTCACGATCGGGGGCCTGTCGCCGAGGCGTCGCCGATTCCAGGTCGCTCCCCCCCCCTCTGCCAGTCCCCACCGATCGTTGCCCCTCACCCCCAGAGGCCAGAAGCTGCGAGAAAACTCTCCGCCTCAGCTTTTTCTGGGACGCCGCGGGGAGGTCGTCTGAGCTTCCCCCCTCCGGTCGGGCCCCCGGGTGCTGCCGGAGGTGGCCCTCGTGGCCCAGGGTGGCCCGAGCTTCTCCATGGGGGCCCAAGAAGGGCCCCCAGAGCGCCCCATCTCCTCCTCCTCCTCCTCCTCCTCCTCCTCCTCCGCCTCCTCCTCCTGCTTTTCCCCCTCCTCCCCCTCCTCCTCCTCCTCCTCCTCCTTCTTCTCCTCCTCCAGACCACTCCAAAAAGCACACACACACACACACACACCCCTTCCCCCCACCACGGAGCACATGCAGGATGGCGCGAAAGGCTGGGGGGGGCACCTCGGGCCAGGGTCATGCATGAGCGACGCAAAACAACTGGCCCAGCTGTGCGGATATTCGTGCGTAAATTGTCTGCGTGAGGTGGCGCGGCAGCGCCCTCGTTTCCCTGTCTCGCTGGCGGTCCGCTCGGGGAGGGAGGGGGGAGGGGGCATCCATAGAAGTCATCAAGATACTTACCGACGAACCAGGCACATAACGTGCAGTGCCGGGGGAGGCGGACCGTTCCCCCATCTGATTATCAGAGGGGGATGCGAAGGTCCTGGAGACGGGACGGAGTGGGCACAAGCGGGCATCGTGGCCAGCTCAACACAGCATAAGTGGCATCATAGACTCATCATTGGCACTCTAGATTGATCCCAGTATGGATCCACTATTCTCTCATTGATTGCAATGCATGCATCGGATACTTTGCCCGACGTCGTGTTGTGTGTGTGTGTTCATGACGTGGACCCCCCAGGGGTCTGGACCTGTTCCCTGGGACAGGCTTTTTATCCTGGGCCCCTTTTTGGCAGTCCTGAGGCCCGGTGAGGACCCCCAGAGGCCGGAGATAGCAAAACCTTCCATCATGATGTGTTCATCACGCGAGGGGGCCCGGGAAGGTCGCTGCGCCTTCTCGCGCAAGACCCTCTCCTCTTCGTCGCTCACCGCGCAGCCCAGCAGTCGGAGATCAGCATATGGCATAAACATAAACTTTCGGAGGGCCACCTCCGAAAGCTCATGTTTATGTGATTCGTGGATCCTCGGAACAGGTGGAGCTGCCCGACACCAGGATGAACGCGAAGGGCATGGAAGCCGTCGGGCCCAAGACCTCGCCCGAGACTGGTGCGCGGCACCCCCTGGAGAAGCTCCTGGTGGACCTCGGGGGCCTCCAAAAAAGGTGCGGTGTGGCCACACCGTATGGCGAGTCCGCGGGATTCTGGGCTTTCGGACGTGTTCGTCGGTTCCTCGGCGTCTTCCTCCCTCGGAGTGCGCTCCAGCAGCTGCGCCTCGCCGAGAGCGTTCCGGGGGTGCCCAGATCATGGCGAGGGGACGCCAGAGAACCGAGTCACAGCCCGCAGAGCCGAGTCATGGCCGAGTCGGGGCCGCTGTGGTGAGTCGGTGAGCCGAGTCACAGCCCGCAGAGCCGAGTCATGGCCGAGTCGGGGCCGCAGTGGTGAGTCGGTGAGGATTCGGAGTCCCCGCTCGGCTCTGGGACTTGGTTCGTTCACCGAAGGTGTCTCGGGCGTTTGGGGCCTCCGAAGTCCCAAAGCCGTGCGGTGATGGACTGTGCGGTGAGGTCTTTCGTGGTTTCGAGGTCACCGCAGGGGTCCGTCACCGCACCGCGGTGGGGCCCTCGAGGACAACGCGAAGCGCGCCGAGCAGCAGGAGATGATGGCGACCCGGCGGCGCGCAAAAATCCCAGAGCCAAACGCATTGGGGGCGGATCGCGTGGGGGTGTAGCAGCGTCGCGGGGCGTGGGGGGAGTGGGATCGCTTGGGGGTGGGTTCGGTGGGCGAGGGGGGGGAGCGGCACGGGCTATCGGGCGGGGTGGTATGGAGAGGGGGCTTACCAACCATTTTCGTGCACCCTATTGAGAGAGACTGCAGCATCATAGATTTTTGGAGCTCCGCGCGGATTTCTTGGATCGGTGCTGGGCCCCCCTGGCGGCGCCGCCCGTGGCGCGCTGCGTGCGCCGGGGCGGCGTCCCCGCCGTGGGCGTTCGGAGTTCAACGCCGCCAGCGGCCCAGCATCGGCCAACATTCAGGAGGGAAAAAAAAACACAGACACAATTAATCGTCGACTTCCAGGAAACTATGGGAAAATATGGGAAGTGGGGGGGAAGACAAAAAGCCAGAACATATGGGAAAATATGGGGAATTCGTTTATTTGTGTGTATTTATTTGTGTGTCCTGGGGCCCCTTCAAGCATGGAGCGACCTCGGGCCATCGGAGGGCAGCCGAAGGCTCGAGGCCGGAGCGACCCACGCAGCGGCAGAGGCCCACGCCCGGGGTCGTCACGGCGCGAGCCTGCCGCAGACAGGCCTCGGCTCTGGGAGTACCGCGCGGGTCGGCGCCACAGCCCCCTCCCTGTTATCCTTAGGGCTCCCTCGAGGGCGCGAAGTTATTCGCGCTTCGCGGTCCTCGTTCCTTCTCCCCTCTCCTCCTCGTCCTCCTTTTCTCCCTTTGGGAGGGCGGCGCGAGAGCGCGAAGTTATTCGCGCTTCGCGCTTCGCGCAGCGCGAAGCGCGAAGTTGGGAGCCCTTAAAGTACCGCGCGGGTCGGCGCCACAGCCCCCTCCCTGTTATCCCGAGGCGGCGCCTCCAGCGCCGCCCCCGGCGCGACAGGCAAGGGGGTGGGGTGGGGGCCCAGCGCCGACCCGAGAGTCGTCTCTATGGCGTTCGCCTGGCGCTCCTGGAGGATCTCGTCGCCGCGGCTGGGCGCGGCTCGGAACCCACGGCTCCGAGCCGGCTGCGCCGCCTTCGGGCCCCGACGCTCCACCCGGCCCGAAGGAGCCTGTGGGGCAGGTGGGAATGCGGACATGTGACTCCCGCAGGTGTGGTGTCCAATGCAACACGATACAATAGTTGTCCTCCTCCTCCTCCTCCTCCTCCTCCTCCTCCTCCTCCTCCTCCTCCCAATGCATCCAGCGCGCGGAGCGCGCTGGGCCACGGGCGGCGAAAAGTACCGTATCCGCGCCCTCGCCGCGATTCGGATTCCGGGGCGCGATCCCGCGGATACGCGGTCGCGCCGATTCGGGCGTTGAATTGCCCCTGGGCCTCGCGAGGGGTGGTCGTGAGGGCCTCCTTGGAAATCCTGGGGGCACCTTGGGCCAGGGGCACTTCTAGCAACACCCGACGGATACGTTCCGCGCGGGGCATCCGCGAAGAAGCGCTCCGTATTCGCGTGGGCCGCGGCCCAGGGGCCCAGCCCTCGAGGCCACGGATACGGTTATCTTTTTCGCCCACGAGAGTGATGATGTTCCATTTTACTTCAGTCATGATCACCAGGAAGAATTTCGAGCACGAGGAAAGGAGAGAAATTGGAGGGTTTTCACGCGTCGAGCCCTGGGAGGTGATACTCGTTTGACACTTCGTTAGCGTGTCGGGCAGACACTGCTTCGATACTTCTCTGGGTGCTCGAAATTATGTATGGGAGGTGGTCATTAGGTCGGGGTACCGCCTTAAGGGACTGCCTTCCCAACCCCGCACCCGACCAAAGCCCGCTCCAAACTGGCCTCCCGGGACCTTCCTGGATTACTTTCTGGCGAGTTGTTCGAGCTGCGCCCGGCCTGGGCCACGAGGGCCCGCCCCAGAGGCCCCGAGAAGCACGGAGAGCGTCAGAAGCCCTCGCTTTCCCTGCCCCTCTCTTTCCCTGCCCGCGCCGACGAGGCGAAGTCCGTGGTGTTCGGCCAGCACGCCCCCATCCGAGCCAAGATGGAGCGCGAGCTGATGGCGCAGTTCCAGCGCCTGCCTGGCCTGCCCTCGTCCATGATGGGCCTCGAGACCGTGCTCGGCCTGGACACCACCATCGAGTGGGAGGACCAACCCAGGGAGGAGGAAGAGGCGAAGGAGGAGGACCAGAACAAGCCCAGTAAGCATCAGCGATGATCACACACACGCACACACGCACACACACACACACACACACACACACACGCACACACGCACACACACACACACACACACACACACACGCACTTGTCATCGGTCCCTACGCTGATTCTTCCACTGTGGAAAGCGCCCCCTTGAATGACGAGAGCCTGGTGGACCTGCGGCTCAGGCGAGGACCCGCTGTGTAAAGGATATCCCTCCGTCCCTCTAGCGAAGAGAACCGCCAAGAGGGGCGGTGGGAAAGTCAAAGAAGGCGTCCAGCGGAAGCCCCGTTTCGAAAAAAGGTCCTGCTCTCCATCCGTGCACACGGTTCACACTGTGAAGTTCTGGTTCTGAAGTGTGCGGAGGTCGCAAGCGAGAGTCTTATTTGAACAGGAGCGGTCTTATATGTGTGTATGTCCTTTTTGAAAACTTCTGAATATGTGTTCATAGATTTCGAGGCAGTCTCAAGCGAGGGCCACATGTTGAAGACGAACCAGCCTCCAACCTTGCACATGTTGGAAGCTGTACAAACGAATGCGCGCGGCGCTAAGGCGAACGAACCGGCGTCCATCCTTGCATATGTATGTTGGAAATTGTACAAACGAATGCACGCGGCGCAACAGCGAGAGCAGCAATCTGGAGACAACCACCCCTCAGTCCGTGTAATGCCCCGCATCCCAAATGGGGTATTATTTTCTGTGGGCACCCCCCGTCCACGGAAAAACACACACACACACACCTCCCCTGGTCTTCACTCTCACACTCACAACCATCATACATCAGTACCACCATCACTCATTCACTCACTCACTTACTCACTCGTCATCATTATCATCATCAGCAGCATCATCATCGTCATCGTCATCATCATCATCGTCATCGTCGTCATCATCATCATCATCATCATCATCATCAGCATCAGCATCAGCATTAGCACCATAATCACTATCAGAAGCAGCAGCATCGCCATCAACATCTTCATCACCATCACCACCATCATCATCAGGGCCCCCAATGCTTGACTATGGAGGAAGTCTCAGGCGGGGACCTTGTCTGTAAGTGAGTTGCGAGGAAGTCTCTGGCGGGGGAGCCTCCTCCCTGTGGGGCCCGCACCTTTTTGTTTTGAACCGAGGAAATCAGTCGGAGCTTGTAGCTATCGGCACTTTGGGGCCCCTGAGGCATACATACTCAGAAGTCTCAGGCGGGGGCGTTCTCTGTGAGTGGGATGCCAGGAAGTCTAAGGCGGGAGCCCCCTCCTTATTGGGCCCGCACTTTTGTTTTCATTAAAACTTGGGCGAGGGCCTTGTCTGTTAGTGAGTTGCGAGGCAGTCTCAGGCGGGAGGCCCCCCCAATGTGGGGCCCGCATCATTTGGTTCCCCACATCCAAAGTGGGCTCTTGTTCTCTCTGCACACCCCTCGCGCAGGATCTTCTCCTACTCTTCCTCCTCCCCCCCTGTCCCTTTCCCACGCACATCCCTATCCGCACTCACCCACTCACTCACTCAAGACTCACTCATTCCCTCCCCCACGCATCACCATCATTCATCACTCACCCCCATGAGTATCACACCACCATCGTCATCATCACGATTACAATCCCATTGTGATCATCGTTCATTGTTCGTCATCATCACCACATCACCACCACCACCACCACCACCACCATCATCATCATCATCATCATCATCATCATCATCATCATCATCATCATCATCATCATCATCATCATCATCATCGTCACCAGCGTCATCGACATTGCAAACACTCCTTCACTTACTCACGCGCACCATCACACACTCATCGTGAGGAAGTCTCGAGCGGAAGCTTCGTCTGTGAGTGAATTGTGAGGAAAACCAGAGGGGAGCCCATTCCTATGGGGCCCGCACGTCATTGTTCAATCCCAGTGGTTCATCTTCAAAATTGTAATTGTCGCCAGTCTTGGGCTCCTCAGGCCTGAATATGGAGGAAGTCCCCGGCGGGAGCCTCGTCTGTGAGTGGGTTGCGAGAATGTCTCAGGCGGGACCCCCTCCCTAAAGGTCCCGCATTTCATGTGTTGAATCTGAGCGGGCCAACCTCAAATTGTGAGTCACGTCATGGTTCGGTTCCCCAGGCCTGACTATGGAGGAAGTCTCAGGCAGGAGCCCGCTCCTTATCGGGCCCGCAATTCGTGTACACATATAACGGCGCACCGGGTCCGGGGGCCCGGGGCCGGGACCTCGACCACAAATGTGCGCCCCGGGGGGCCCGGAGGCTCGTCGGGGCTTGCCGGAGGCCTCCCCAGTCAGACAAGACGGCCCAAGAAGCGCCCAAGACGGCCCAAGAAACTTCCAAGAGGCCTCCAAGAGGGCTCCGAGATGCTGAAGATGGCCTCCAGACGTCCAAGGACGCCCCCAAGAGGCCCCAAGAAGCCTCCAACATGCGTCCCAAGAGTGCCCCTAGACGCAAAAATTGGCCCATTCCCTTCGTAAAACGTACATTTTCAACAAAGTCGCCTTTTGGGCTTTCCGACGTTACAGGACGGCCCAAGAGGCGCCCAAGACCGCCCCAAGACGGCCCAAGAAGCTTCCAAGAGGGCCCCAGGACAGCCCAAGAGGGCCCCAAGACGGCCCAAGAGGCGCCCAAGATGGCCCAAGAGGGCCCCAAGACGGGCCCAAGAGGGGGCCCAGAGGGGGACCACGAACCGCAAGCTCGAGCCTTCCGCCCCAAGAGGCCGCCAGGAGGCCCCCAGGAGGCCCCTCAAGAGGCCCCAGGAGACCCCAGACGTCCAAGGACGCCCCCAAGAGGCCCAAGAAGCCTCCAACATGCGTCCCAAGAGGGCCCCTAGACGCAAAAATTGGCCCATTCCCTTCGTAAAACGTACATTTTCAACAAAGTCGCCTTTTGGGCTTTCCGACGTTACAGGACGGCCCAAGAGGCGCCCAAGACCGCCCCAAGACCGCCCAAGAAGTTTCCCAGAGGGCCCCAGGACAGCCCAAGAGGGCCCCAAGACGGCCCAAGAGGCGCCCAAGATGGCCCAAGAGGGCCCCAAGACGGGCCCAAGAGGGGGCCCAGAGGGGGACCACGAACCGCAAGCTCGAGCCTTCCGCCCCAAGAGGCCGCCAGGAGGCCCCCAGGAGGCCCCTCAAGAGGCCCCAGGAGACCCCAGACGTCCAAGGACGCCCCCAAGAGGCCCCAAGAAGCCTCCAACATGCGTCCCAAGAGGGCCCCTAGACGCAAAAATTGGCCCATTCCCTTCGTAAAACGTACATTTTCAACAAAGTCGTCTTTTGGGCTTTCCGACGTTACAGGACGGCCCAAGAGGCGCCCAAGACCGCCCCAAGACGGCCCAAGAAGCTTCCAAGAGGGCCCCAGGACAGCCCAAGAGGGCCCCAAGACGGCCCAAGAGGCGCCCAAGATGGCCCAAGAGGGCCCCAAGACGGGCCCAAGAGGGGGCCCAGAGGGAACCCCACGTGGGCCCAAGGAGGCCCAAGAGGGACCCAAGAGAGCCCCAAGAGAGCCCCAACATCGGTCACGCGGAAGAGCTCTCGCGTGACCGATGTTGGGCCCCTCTGTGGGCTCCTCTTGGAGCTCCGAGAGGAGCCAAAGATGGCCCCACGAGGGCCCCGACGAGACCCCAAGAGGACCCAAGCAGGCCCAAGAGGGACCCAAGAGAGCCCCAGCATAGGTCACGCGGAAGAGCCCTCGCGTGACCGATGTTGAGCCCCTCTTTGGGCTCCTCTTGGAGCTCCAAGAGGGGCCCAAGATGGCCCCACGAGGGCCCCGAGGGAGCCCCACGTGGGCCCAAGGAGGCCCAAGGAACCCCAAGATGGCCCCAACATCGGTCACGCGGAAGAGCTCTCGCGTGACCGATGTTGGGCCCCCTCTTTGGGCTCCTCTTGGTGCTCCGAGAGGAACCCAAGATGGCCCCACGAGGGCCCCGTCGAGACCCCAAGAGGGCCCAAGGAGGCCCAATAGGGCCCCAAGAGGGCCCCAACATCGGTCACGCGAAAGAGCTCTCGCGTGACCGATGTTGGGCCCCTCTGTGGGCTCCTCTTGGAGCTCCGAGAGGAGCCCAAGGTGGCCCCACGAGGGCCCCGACGAGCCCCAAGAGAGCCCAAGAGGGCCCCAAGAGCGCCCCAACATCTCCTCTCCTTCCTCCTCCTCCCTCCTCTGCATCTTCCTCCTCCTCCTCCTTCTCCTCCTCCTCCTCCTCCTCCTCCTCCTCCTTCTCCTCTCCAGGGGAATGAAAACCAGAGGATAGCTCACGGAGAGCCCAAGCACCCTCTTGTTGCATCCATCTTGGCTTCCAGATGGAGCCCAAGAAGGCCCCAAGGAGGCCCCTCAAGAGGCCCCAGGAGACCCCAGACGTCCAAGGACGCCCCCAAGACGCTTCGCGTCACCAACTTCTTCTCGCAACGATTCCTGGGTCTGTGACTCGACAGAACCTAAGCGCGCGCGAAGCGCGCGCGTGGTTCTAGTTTTAACTACAGCGGATCAACCTCAAGCTTGTAATTGTCATCACGCATGAGCTCCTCGGGCCTGGATATGGAGGACGTCTCGAGTGGGAGCCTCGTCTGTGAGTGAACTGCGACCTCAGACGGGAGCCTATTCCTATGGGGCCACACTTATATGTTGAATGACAAGGGGTCATCTTGAAACAGGTGTTATCGTTAAATGTGGGTTCCCTAGGCTTAGATGTGGAGGAAGTCTCCAGCGGGAGCCTCGTGTGTGAGTGTGTTGCGATGAAGTCTCTGGCGGGAGCCCCTTCCACATGGGTCCTGCATTTCACATGTTGAATCCCAGCGGGTCATCCTCAAACCTGTACCTGTCGTAACTTTGGAGCTCTTCAGGTTTGGATATGGAGGAAGTCCCCGGCGGGAGCCTCGTCTGTGAGGGAAGTGCGAGGAAGTCTCAGGCGGGAGCCCTTCCCCATGGGGCCCGCACTTCGCGTTTATCATCTCAGGGGGTCATCCTCAGGCTGAATGTGGAGCAGGTCTCAAGCGGGAGCCTCGTCTGTGAGTGAATCGCGAGGAAGAGTTGAGCGGGAACCCCTCCTTATGGGTTCCCCACTTCCACGTCCGAACCCGAGCGGGTCATCTGAAACTTGCAACTGCTGTCGCGTGCGGGGGCGTCGTCACTGAGTGAATCGCGAGGAGGTCTCGGCGGGAACCCTTCCGTATGGGGTCCCCACCTCCATGTTCGAATCCGAGCGGGCCATTTGAAACCTGTAAATGTCATGTTTGGGCTCCTCAGATTTGAGTCTGGAGGACGTCTCGAGCGGGGCGGGGCGTCGTCTGCGTGTGACTCGCGAAGAGGTTTCGCGCGGGAGCCCCTTCCCCACCTCCATGTTCGACAAGAGGGTTGCGAGCTCCAGGGCTGAGGCGGAGCTCGCGGCAGAGCTAGGTTTTGCGTTGCCTCTCGCCTGAGCGCGGCGGCGCCCAGCTCGAGGGCCGCGGAGTTGTCCCGGCCTCGTGCTCCCGCGCCCCAGCGATCCACGGGGTTGTCTCAACGGCCTGGCCCGCAGGGTTGCCCCAACGGCTTCGCGATCTGGCCGTCGGAGAACGCGCATGCCAGCGGCGGCGAGGGCGTTGACGAAAATCGGCATGCAGGCCCCAGCCAGAAGGATGGAGAGGTGTATGAGGAGAACAGGCGGGATGGGGAGGAAGGAGGAGGAGCAGGAGGTGCAGGAGGAGACGAGGAGGAAAAGGACAAAGACGAGGAGGTGGAGAAGAACACGAGGACGAGGAGGAAGAGGCAGGAAGAGGACCAGGAGGCAGGAGGAGAAGGAGAAGGCAAAAGGGGTAGGAGGAGGGAGCAGGAGGAGATCCCCAGCCAAGCTGGGGATGTTTATCATGCGGTGTCCCACCGTCGGAGAATGTTTAACCCCAGTGTGTCACTTAGTACCTACAGCGATGGTCACGGTTGAGTTCCTGAGGTTTCAATCTTAAGGAAGTCTCAGGTTGGGGCCTTGTTTGTGAATGAATTGCGCGGGAGTTTCAGACTCGGAATTTATAATTGTCGTCACTTTTGAATTTCTGAGGCTCGGATTTCCAGGAAGTCTCAGGCGGGGGCCTCGTCTGTGAGTGAATTGCGAGAAAGTCTCAGGCGGGAGCCCCCTCCTCATGGGCCCTGCATTTTCTGGTTCGAAACCAGCAAAGGATTTGAAACTCGTAACTGTCATCACGTTTGAGCCCCTGAGGCTTGCATCTTCAGATGGTCCCGAGCGGGGGCCTTGTCTGTGAGTGAATTGCGAGGAAGTTTGAGGCGGGATCCCCCTACCTATGGGGCCCGCACCTTTTGTTCCCAACCATCCTATGGTGTTGGGCCCTCGTTTTGAACCTACAACGCCCCACGTTTTCCATCCTCCCGCTGCCCCCTCCCTCGTCCCATTCCTGCCGCTGCCCTCCGCATGTCTATTTCGGCGCACCCCTCACACGTTTTGTGGCCCCACAGCGAGCTCCATCGAAGGCGCCAGTAGCAGCGCCCGCATGCGGTCCATGTAGGCGCACTCCTCACACGCTTCGTGGCACCGTAAGGAGCTCAACCGAAGGTCCCAGTGGCAGCGCCAGCATGCGGTTCCACCCCACCTGTCAGCGCACCCCATCACACGTCTCGTGGCACCATGGGGAGTTCCACCGAAGGCCCCAGTGGAAGCGCCCGCATGCGGTTCCACCCCAGTTTCGGCGCACCCCTCACACGTTTCGCGGCCCCAGAGGGATACCCACCGTAGGCTCCAATGGCAGCGCCCGCATGCGGTTCCACCTTGCATGCTATCGCACCCCTCATACGTTCCGTGGCCCCACAGCGAGCTCCAGCGAAGGCCCCAGTGGCAGCGCCAGCAAGGGTTCTACCTCCAATCTCAGCGCACCCCTGACACGTTCCGTGGCTCCACAGTGAGCTCCACCGAAGGGCCCAGTTGCAGCGCCCGCATGTGTTTCCACCCCCGGCTTCGGCGCACCACTCACACGTTCCGCGGCCCCATATGAATTTTCACCGAAGGCCCCAGTGGCAGCGCCCGCATGCGGTTCCCCCCAGTTCGGCGCACCACTCACGCGCTTCGTGGCCCCAAGGGGAGCTCCAGCGAAGGCCCCAGTGGCAGTGCCAGCATGCGGTTCCACCGTGCATTGCGACGCGCCCCTCATACGTCTCGTTGCCCCATAGGGAGCTCCACCGAAGGTCCCAGTGGCAGCGCCAGCATCCGGTTCCAACTTGCATGTCGGCGCACCCCTCATACGCTTCGCGGCCCCGTGGGGAGTTCCACCGAAGGCCCCAGTGGAAGCGCCCGCCTGCGGTTCCACCCCAGTTTCGGCGCACCCCTCACACGTTTCGCGGCCCCAGAGGGATACCCACCGTAGGCTCCAATGGCAGCGCCCGCATGCGGTTCCACCTTGCATGCTATCGCACCCCTCATACGTTCCGTGGCCCCACAGCGAGCTCCAGCGAAGGCCCCAGAGGCAGCGCCAGCATGCAGTTCCACCTCCAATCTCAGCGCACCCCTGACACGTTCCGTGACCACATTGGGAACTCCACCGAAGGCGCCAGTGGCAGCGCCCGCATGCGGTTCCACCTTGCATGTTGTCGCACCCTTCACACGTTTCGTGGCCCCACACCGAGCTCCACCGAAGGCCCCAGTGGCAGCGCCCGCATGCGGTTTCACCCTGCTGTTCTGCGCACCCCTCACACGTTTCGTGACCCCACTGGGAACTCCACTGAAGGCCCCAGTGGCAGCGCCCGCATGCGGTTCCACCTTGCATGTCGGCGCACCCCTCACACGTTCCGTGGCCCCACAAGGGGCTCCTCCGACGGCTCCAGTGGCATCGCCCGCATGGCGTACCTGTGCCCAGTTTGGCATACCCGTCACACGCGTCGTGCCGCAATAGAGTGGTGCACCGAGGACGATACCCACAACTGCGTGATTCACACCTCCACATGGCTGGGTCCTTCGCCAGGGTGATGTTTAATCCCAGGGGTCATTCGGAACATGTGATTGTCGTCACGTGTGAGCTTCTGAGGCTTGAACCGTCAGGAAGTAGGCGGGGGGACGGTGTCTGTCAGCGAATTGCGATGATGTCTCAGACAGGAGCCCCCTCCCTATACGGCCCGCACTTCATGGTTTTCATCCCAGGGGGTCATTCGGAACATGTAGCTGCCTTTACTGTTGAGTTCCTCAGGCTGGGGGGGGGCCTGTCTGCGAGTGGGTTGCGGGAAAGCCTCAGGCGGGAGCCCCCTATCTGTGGGGCCCGCACCTTACGCTGTTTTAATCCCATCGGGTCATTGGGAACCTGTGACTGTCGTCACTTTCAGGAGTGCTCAGACAGGTGGCCTTGTCTGTGAGCGACCTGCAAGGAACTTTCAGGCGGGAGCCCTTCCCTATGAGGACCGCACCGCTTGTTTGTTTAATCACAGGGGGGTAAGTCGGAACCTCTGATTGTGATCAGTGTTTAGTTCCGCAGGCTGGGGGGGGGGCTTGTCTGCGAGTGAGTTGCGATGAAGTCTCAGGCGGGACCCCCCCCCAATGGGGCCAACACCTCATGTGGTTTAATGGTAGGGGGGTCATTCGGAATGTGTAGCTGTCGTCATTGCTGAGCTCGTGAGGCTTGAATCGTCAGGAAGTCTCAGGCAGGGGCCGTGTCTGTGAGCGAATTGCGAGGCGGTCTCAGGCGGGAGCCCTCCCCTTATGGAGCCCGCACCTCATGGGCTTAACCCCAGGGACGGGACGGAAATGGGGTGCTCATGTGGGGTCCTACCGTCGGAAGTATGTGGTGCAGGGAATTCTCCAGCGAAACGACTGGCCTGGCCTACCGTATGGGCACGGTTGGTGGTGCGGTTGGGGGAGTGATTTATAAGGGAGATGAATGGAGAAGGAGAAGGAGGATGCAGCATTCTTATACAGGTGTTTGCGGCAAGTCTCGCCACCGTGCCAGCCCAGGATTCTGGGTGGCGATTGTTCGAGGAGGTACGGAAGGCCATGCTTTGGAGAGCTTTAACATGTGACACGCTCATCCGATCCGTGCCAGGAGTTGTGGTTTCGTCTTCGTCGTGTTCCTCCCGTTCTCCCGTCCTTTCTCAGGCTCCCGTAGAGCCGCCTCGACGGGCCCTTCGGAACCACTTCGTCCGCCGTGCGGCCCTGTCAGGTCGTCTTGGAGCTCTCTTGGGCCGTCGTGGGGCCCTCTTGGCTGTCTGGGGGGGGTCTCTTGCGGCTGCCTTTTGGGGTCTCTTGGCCGTCTGGGGGGGCCGTCGTGGGGCCATCTTGGGTCGTCGGGGGGGCTCTCTGAGGCCGTCTAGGGACCTTCGGCAGCCCGCTTGGGCCAGTTTGGTGCTCTCTCGGGCCCTCCTGCGCCACAGGGGCCCCCTTGCGCTGCCATGAGGCCGCCTTGGACGATGAGCGGGCAATGTGTGGGCCCTCTTGGGTCGTCTTGGAGCCATCTCGGAAGCTTCCAGGGCCGTCTGGAGCTGAAGGGAGCCCAGACAGATGAAGACGCCCAAATCTTTCAACCTGAGGAGTGTCTATGACTTTGGCTCCGTCAGGCCACTCCTGAGCCGTCTTGGGGGCCGTCTCGGAGGCATCTCCTGGGTCCTCTGGGCGGCCTCGGTTGCCTGCCTCGGCCGTCCTGGAAGCTCGGGAGCGCGGAGCCGCACACGTGTCGCGTGCACGGGATCGTGGCCCCGGGAGCGCGGACCCGGTGCTCTTGCCCCAGGGATCGTGGCCCCGGGAGCGCGGGCCCACGGCTCCTGACTGGGAGCGTGGCCTCCAGGAGCGCGGGCGGGCCCACTGTGTGTGTCTACAGGGGGCCGTGGCCTCGGGGCTGCGCGGCTCCGTGGTCTTGGCTCGATGGGGGCGCGGCCTCGGGGGCGCGCGCCCCGCTCGCTGTGCGTCGAAGGACCGTGGCGTGGGCAGCGCGGACAGTCTGTCATCCAGTGGTCTTTACAGGTAGTGGTGGCTTCGGGAGCGCGGGTCCTTTGCTTTTGTCCGGGATTTGTGGCCTTCGGAGCGCGGATCCCGTGTCTACTCACAGGGGACAGGAGGGGGATGCATGCGAGCGGGTGCGGGCAGAAGGAAGAGGGGCTTCTTCGAAGACATACAGAAACCTTGCCAGACAGCCCTCAGTACGGTGGGGGCGTTTGTTGAGGAATGTGCCCAGGAGGCTTCAGACCCTGGAGGCTTCTTTACCTGATGAGGGCGGCGGTGATATCCATGGCCAAGCCTGCAACAGAGTTCCACTGGCTTCCAGACACTGGATTCCTTCTCCATTGGTTCCTTGTCCAATGCCCTCGCCGTACGCGTCAGGGTGACCCTTCGCCGGAGAGGCCCTTGGTGTGATTCTCCAGGAGTCCCCCCACACACACACTGGCCTGCGCCCTCGGGCTTCCACCCACCCCCCAGCGGCCCCCTGAGGCCGCGCATCAGAGCCCCCTCCTCGCCCAGGGCCGCTCCTGCGTGCAGCTGAAAAAAGCGTCCGAGCCCTTCTGAGCGGCCCCCGGACCTTCCTAGAAGGCAGCCCCCCTCGCGCCACCCCTCGCTGCGCGGTTCCCGGGGGACGCCCGAGGCCCACTGCTTCTCGCGCGCCTCTTCGAGCACCCCCCGGAGGATGTCTTCAACCGCGAGGAGGACGCGCCCATGCCGCGGACGGTCGGCCCCAACTTCCCCGTGCACCGCGTGATGGAGAAGCGCCTCAACATGCGCTTCTGAGCGGGCCCGCCGCGGCGAGAGCAACGGCGAGGCGCCCCAGCTTCCCGGCGGCGGAGCGCATAGAGAGAGCGAGGAGGAGGAAATTTCTGCCGCCGCCGCGCGCAGGGCACCCCACCCCCTGCGCGGGGGGGGGGGAGGTGGGCAGAATGCACCCAGGAGTGGCCCTTCGCCCGAGTGACCTCCGGTGCGCAGCTTTCGGGGGGGCCCTGGGAGGGGGGGGGCCGAAGCACGTCGGCGGTCACTGTCGCGTCGGTTGCAGCGGTCCGAATGCAACTCTTGCCCAGGGTCGCACTGTCGAGTCGCCGAGGAGAGGCAGGCAGGCGGTGGTGGCTTTGAGAAGGGGCGAGGAAAGCGGCCTTGTGCTCCTCCTCGTCCTCCTCGTCCTCCTCCTCGTCCTCCTCCTCCTCGTCCTCCTAGTCGTCCTCCTCCTCCTCCTCCTCCTCCTCCTCGTCCTCCTCCTCCTCATCCTTCTCCTCCTCCTCATCCTCCTCCTCCTCCTCGTCCTCCTCCTCCTCCTCGTCCTCCTCGTCCTCCTCGTCCTCCTCGTTTTCCTCCTCCTCCTCCTCCTCCTCGTCCTCCTCCTCCTCCTCATCCTCCTCCTCATCCTCGTCATCCTCGTCCTCCTCGTCTCCTCCTCCTCCTCCTCCTCCTCCTCCTCTTCCTCCTCCTTCTCCTCCTCCTCCTCCTCGTCCTCGTCGTCGTCGTCCTCCTCCTTGTCCTCCTCGTCCTCCTCCTCCTCCTCCTCCTCCTCCTCCTCCTCGTCCTCTTCTCCTCTCCTCCTCCTCCTCCTCGTCCTCCTCCTCCTCCTCCTCGTCCTCCTCCTCACCCTTCTCCTCCTCCTCCTCCTCATCCTCCTCCTCCTCCTCCTCGTCCTCCTCCTCATCCGTCTCCTCCTCCTCCTCCTCCTCCTCGTCCTCCTCCTCCTCGCCTCCTCCTCCTCCTCCTCCTCCTCCTCTCCTCCTCCTCCTCCTCCTCTCCTCCTCCTCCTCCTCCTCCTCCTCCTCCTCCTCCTCCTCCTCCTCCTCCTCCCACTCCTCCTCGTCCTCCTCCTCCTCCTCCTCCTCCTCGTCCTCCTCCTCATCCTCGTCATCCTCGTCCTCCTCGTCCTCCTCCTCCTCGCCCTCCTCCTCCTCCTCCTCCTCCTCCTCCTCCTCCTCCTCCTCCTCTTCCTCCTCCTTCTCCTCCTCCTCCTCGTCCTCCTCCTCCTCCTCGTCCTTCTCCTCGCCCTCCTCCTCCTCCTCCTCATCCTCCTCCGGGCTTTTTGGCTTTTTGGCCTCGTCTCGCGAGGCTGCGCGTGCGGTGAAGGCGCAGGCGGGGGTGCTCAAGCTTTCCGCTTTTCGGTCTGCTCTTAACCTCGGGCACGATTCTTTTGCGGGTGGCACCGCCCACAGAGCCCAGGAGCGAAAACGTCTTGGGAGGGTCCTGGGACGCCGTGGCAGGCTTCGTGCCCTGGAGCGGGCTGGGGGGGTGAAGGTCCGGGCTCTGTGGCGTACAGGTGTCATGCCGTCTGGAAGCCATGGAGCTGGGGTCATAGGCCTCACCGACTCTACGCTCATGAAGCTTCGTTCATTTGCCGGTGAGCTTGTAGTGGCTCGTAAGGGTCTTGCGTCCCTTACGGTCTACACGTGCACACAGAAGGATCGGATGTACGATCCCACTTTTGATGCCACCTGCCCGCTGCTAGCCCGTTATGCGGCGTGGCTGTGGGACGGCAGGACCTCCGCTTCGCAGCTCCGCGCGGCGTGGCAGGCCATTCGTGAAAAGATCGGCCAGCAGGGATCCTGACGGATGTGCTTTGGACCGATCTCTGCGGTGATCCTCACCCTACGCAGGATCGGTTGGGACATGGCGGCGCCCCACGTTCTGATCTCGGATCGTGGCGAAGCTGTGTCCATGTGCGAGTTTTCACCGTCCGAGGTCCGAGCTCTGGTCCGAGACGGCGTCGAGCGCTGGCTCTGGAGAAGGGTCCCGTTTCACTGGCCTGAGGCTGCCGGAACCGAGGAGATTTGGATTCGAGCGATGCGCCTCGCGGTGTTGTCCCTCCCAGCAGGTGCTCGCCAAGGGTCTGCTCGGGCCCTCCTGTCCGGGGGCCTTTGGCCCCCCGAGCGTAAATTCCAGGCCGGCCTTTGTGCGTCAGGTAAATGTGTTTTCTGTGGGACACCGCGTGGTACACTCGGCCACCAGCTGTACGATTGTCCTTCTGCGTTCGCCGCCGAGGAGGAGGAGGAGGTGGAGGCTCAGTTTCCTTTTCCGGACGACGTGTGGCAGCAGCGGCAGGCCCTTCGGGAGCAAGGAATCTCTCCTCTGGGTGGGGCGGATTGGGATGTCGTTCCTCTCTTGTACGGCCTCCCTCAAATCCCGGTTAGGCTGCCGCCGCCGCTGTCCCACCCTCCCGTCCTGCTCTGGGGTCTCACGTTACGGAGGATGGCTGGCCCCTCCGAGCGAAGTTCGGCGGACTGCCAGGACTGTTTCAAACAGTGCCTCGGGGCGAGCGGTGGGCTGGCCTTGAGGCGATGCGCGTGGGCCCTTCTGATCTCACGATCGTCAGCGATCACCGTAGTTTTGTCCGCGAGTGCCAGGGCTGGGACTCTAAGCTTGAGTGCGGCCTCGCGCGCCACGCTTGGCTATGGCGGAAGATTTTTAGATTGTCTGAGCGGTCGGGTTCGCGGCCGTCGATGATCTGGACTCCCGCGCATCGGTCTTTGGAGCAGCTGGTCGACGAGGGAGCGTCGGCTGAGGAGATCCACCGTTTCATGGGAAATGCTTGGGCCGATTTCTTCGCCAAACTCGGGGCTAAGGACGTCGCTGTTGCACAACTCGCGGTCGATGCCCTCCAGCGTTCTGTCAAAGAGTGCAAGTGTACATTTGAGTTCTTGTCGAGGGCGGTGCAGTTGATTTGCGCTCGTCCTGAGGCTCAGGACTCTGGCCCTCCTTTGCCCAAGGAAGTGGCGGAGAGGCGCGATAAGCTCGTCATTATCGCCCATGACCCTGTCCCCCTAGCACCTGGCTCGTCCGCGCTGCAGTGCAGGCGTTGTCTTGCCGTGGCTCGGACACCTGCCAGTGTTAAGACGCTTTTGAAGCCAGGGGCCAAATGTGAGCCGCCGCCCATGCTCCAGGCCCTCGCCCAGGCTGTTGCGCAGCTCGGGTGGCGTAGCCAAGGGGATGGGGAGGCTGCTGGGGCTGCTGCTGCTGCTGCTGCTGCTGCTGCTGCTGCTGCTGCTGCTGCTGCTGCGGCCGACGGGGCGATGGGGAGTGGGATCCTCTTCGAATGCGACGACCATAAGGTCCAGCGTTCTGGGCCATATTTGTTCTGTATTCGGTGCGGGGCTCGTGTGGCCATCGGTTCTCCCAAAATCGATGTCCTTGGGGAGGTCTGCCCTTCGGGCCCCCCGAACCCCGCCCGGCGTAGAGCCAGGGACTGGCTCGCCGACGGGCGGCACCCAGCAACCGGGGCTAAGTTTTAGTTTATGTTGGGTATCTCGGGCGTGCGATGGCGGTCTGACCTCGCACGCGGCACGTTTTATGTTTTAAGTTGTGCCCTCCATATGTCCTTGCTCTGGCGTGCTCGCGATTCGTCGCTTGTACGTTCTATGCTGCGTCCTGCGTCCTCGTCCTCCTCCTCATCGTCCTCCTCGGCATCCTCGTCCTCCTCGTCCTCCTCCTCCTCGCCCTCCTCCTCCTCCTCGTCCTCGTCCTCCTCGTCCTGCTCCTCGACCTCCTCGTCCTCCTCCTCCTCCTCCTCCTCCTCCTCCTCCTCCTCCTCATCCTCTTGCCGCTGCGCCTTTCCGAGGGTAGCGCGCAGTCCACCCCAGAAGGGGTGCGAAAGCGCCCGAAGGGCCCACACTTGACGTTACGGAGCAGGCCGAGAGACCTCCTCGGGTGGTGACAAAAAGGCACGGCGGAGCTACTTGGGGGCGAGTTTGACCTCCCAGGACCTTTTGCAAGGCCCCAGGGCCGTCAAAAATATTTCGGGCTGAAAGACCTGTCCTGGGGAATGGATCGAGACTTCCGGATGCTCACGACGTGAAAGACTCACGACTTCGTGGGTCCTTGGGGGGGAGACGGGGGAGAAGGAAAACCAGAGGGGCAGCACAGTGCAGAGCAACATTCGCGCTTCACTGCCCCCTTCACTGGTCCCAGGCTGCACGGTCGCGTCTGCCCGCGAGCTCATAATTGGAAGCCAGTGAGACATGGAATGTCATCGCCTCAGGGGCACTCTCCCACACCACCGGTTACTCGGGCACAATCTTCCCGACTTCTTCGTCATTGTGTTCGTCCTCATCCTCCTCCACCTCTTCGTCCTCCTGATCCCCTCCTCCTCCTCGTCCTCCTCCTCCTCTTCGTCATTATCCTCCTCATCCTCCTCCTCCTCCTCCTCCTTCTCCTCCTGGTCCTCCTCCTCCTTCTCCTCCTCCTCCTGCTCTTCCTCCTCCCTCTCCTCCCCCTCCTCCCTCTCCTCCCTCTCCTCCGCCTCCTCCTCCTCCTCTTCCTCCTCCTCTTCCTCCTCCTTCTCCTTCTCCTCCTCCTCCTCCTCCTCCTGCTCCGCCTCCTCCTCCTCCTCCTCCTCGACCTCCTCCTCCCCTCCACCTTCTCCATTCCTTTTCCTCCCAAATATCTTCTCCCTGTCGCACCCCGAGGCCAGTTTTTAGGGCGGGACGGGCGTTTCGCCTGAGACGTCCTCACCATGTATGATTCAGGAGCTTAAGAAATGACAACCGTTTTCACAGATTGAGGGCGGGTGTTCTTCAAAATGTGGCTCTTGCTTCAGCGCAGCGCACGTTTGTTTCCAAAATTGCAAGAGTTGCACGGATTGAGGGCGGATGGTTTTGAAAATGTGGCTCTCGCCTTAGCACCGCGCACATTCGTTTTACAAATATGCAAGGGCTTCACGGATTGAGGGCGGGTGGTTTTCAAAATGTGGTTCTCGCCTTAGCGCCGCGCACATTCGTTTTAAACACGTGCACGAGCTTGACGGATTGAGGGCGGGTCATTTTTAAAGTGTGGTTCTCGCTTTGGCGCCGCGCACCTTCGTATTCAAAAATTACAAGATTGTTTGACGGATTGAGGTCGGTTCCTTTTCAAAATGTGGTTCTCGTTTTAGCGCCGCGCGCATTCGCTTTAGAAATTTGGAAGAGTTCCACGGATTCCCATGATCAACGTACCAGAAATAGTGTTCTTGGAAGGATTCTGGATTAGGCAGGTGCATCATTTATGTTGATTCGTGGTGCTGAAGTCCCAAAAATGGCGTTCTGGCGCGATTCCAGATCGTCAGGACGCGGCAGTCAGGTTGATCCGTGGCGTGGAAATCTCGAGAACAATGTTTTGGCATGCTTCGAGGCCTTCAGACGGTTGTCTTCCAACGAGGCAGTTCCCTCAATGGAAATGAACCGTTGTGGGGGCCTATGAAAGGGAGCTTGGAGGAAGGGTTAATTCCAACATTGTTGATGACTCTTGGGTTTACACTGGTCCTCCTCCTCCTCATCCTCGTCCTCGTCCTCCTTCGCGGCGCCGCGGGTCCGTTTGCCGCGGGCGCACTGTGATCCGGAGCCCGCAGACTTCCCCGCCACCCCTCAAACAGGGCAGCTCCTCCGGGTTTGGCCGGCTGTCTGAAACAGCGGCCATTCCCACAGGCGGGGTAAACCAGCCGAGATTTTCTCCTCATCCTCCTCTTTCTCCTCCTCCTCCAGAACAGCGACGACGGCGACGGCGACGGCGAAGGCCAACATCATCGTCCGTCGTCCGTCGCCCGTCGTCGCGGGAGAGGAGGAGAGATCAGGGGGGAGGGGTGATTATGGAGGCGGGGGACGTTCTAAGCATTGGCCATGCCTGCCGAAAACAGATCGCCCGACAAGAAGAACATCAAGCATCACCCCGTCCTTAACTAGGACGCGTGCCCTTGAGGGCCCTGAACATGCATCTTTCGAGAGTCTTTCTCGTGGCGTGCCCACAGTACTCTGCAAGAAATTGATGGACCCCTGGTCGTGACCGAGGGAGTCGGGGGAGGATGAGGGAGGAGGGCCAGGCGGAGGCGCGGAGGAAGGTGCAGGGAGAAGGGGTCAGGTGGAGGACCAGCAGCAGAAGCACGAGCAGGAGCAAGAAGAGCAGCAGGGAGGAGCGCAGAATGTATGTAAGCATTTGTCTCAAGCCTTTGCTTCCCCAGCAGCCATCGCTCGGCACTCCCCGCTCCCCGGCGTCACCCACTGTAAAAAGGTGCCCATCCCTCCATAACGCCACCTGCCGAAAGGAAACAACACCATGGCCACTGCGAACCACGCTGTCTCAATCCGCATCCGCGTGATCATTGACTTCATGTGCCCGTGGAGCTTTATCGGCATGCGTTCTCTGCAGCGGGCGAAGGAGAGGGTTCTGCTGAGGCAGCAAGAAGCGGCCACAAGCGGGAGTTCCGATCATGGGCGCATTCCGACGGAGTTGCGATTTCTGCCGATCGAGTTTGTCCCATTCGAGTTCGACCCTCCAGGCACCTACCCGCCGGAAGGGATCGATTGGAAAGAGTATTGCTTGGGCTACGGGTCCCCAAAGGCGGAATTCTTGTTGGAGCAGAAGTTGCCACGCGCGTTCGCATTGGGCAGAGACGTGGGTATTCGGTTCAAGATGGAGCGCCGCATTGTCGATACGGTCGACGTAAACACTGCACTACACTTGCTCGTCTCGAACGCAACCCAGTATGGCAACGCTGATGCAGCCGAAACTTTTGTGGTGGACTCCCTCAGCGCTCACTTTGAGGCCTTGGAGAACCCCAACGAAAGGCGGGGGCTGGAGAGGCGAATGGTTAACTCTGTCGTCAGTAAGGACGCAGCTGCGGAGGAGAACAAGGCGAAGATCATACTCGCGGACCTGGGCACGGCTCTGAATCATCCCGAGAAACTTACTCAAAACCAGAAGCGCACGGATCGCGCACGACGTGTGTTGCGGAGCGGGGTTCCGCAGTTCGAGGTCTATTGTGACGCGAGAGGATTCGAGGATCTCGATCTCTGTAGACACCCGAGGTTCACAGATATGTCGCCCGTCTCGCCAGAATATTTCGAACAGATGTTTGACACATGTTTGACCATGGCGCACGAGCAGTCAAAAGGGACCACTCATAGCGTGGGCAACGAAGATTTGTGATCCAGCTCGCCTGAAAAAAATGTGCATCAAGTCAAGGTGGTGGGGGTGTCTGTGCAAGGGTATTGGCGCAGCTGCGCGATCGAGCTCACCTGGATGATCTCCGAATCTTGCACTGACAGTTGTAGCGGAGAGAAGCGACGCATGCTGGTGGCGCCGTGTGCGCTTCCATGTGGCAACCCAGCAGGGTTCGTGTAATCATGGCGAAGGGCATGGAGAGTTGCGACATGATGCTACCACATGGTGAGTTTTTGTACGTCACAACTCTTCATAGCCTGCTCCAGGATTACTTCAACTGCAACTGCGAGCATCAACGTTTGCAGCTTCACCTGCAGGTGAACAAGTGAGCTCGATGTCGCGTGCCCAGTGCAGGGCTGGCTGAGCCATGTCTCCCGAGGTGCGACTCGGCGTCGGGCGCGGCGCACGTACACAGGTTATCAGACGAGGAAGAATGTACCGATACCCCTGTTCGTCCTAGAGAGCTCTCGTCGCCACGGCTCATTATGCTCGAGATTCTGGTCCGAATTCATATACGGGAGAGGTCCGGGGAGTAGCAGTATCGGTACCTTTTTGTCCCCCGAGGTTGGGGCATCGGCAATGTTGTACGTACGATCTTCTCTGGAGGTCAGTTGCTGGCCTCGTGCCGTGGCCGCCGCAATTCCCGACTCCCCCCACACACTCGCCCCGCCTGACTGATCCGACTGATCGATTGCCACGCCATGTGCCAAGCGGTGCGCGACCAAGAGCACCAGTGGAAGAGGAGTGCGGTCAGGAGCTCTGGCCTAGCGTGTCGCGCCGACGCGTCTGGCCCACCAAGCTTTGGCGCGGCACGCCACCTCCCCACCCCCAGGCGTCAGCGCTGCGGGCCTTCCTCCGCCGCCCGCCGGGCGGAGCGGAGCGACACACGATCTGCTTGCAGGGCACCTCGTGTCGCCAGGGCCGCCGCGGCGGCACGGCAGTGGCGAGTTCCTGACCGCGGTCTGTGCTGCGTGGGAGCAGCGCGCTCCTCCCCGAGGGCCGGCCGTCGTGGGGAGGGACTCCGCACCGTCCGAAGAGCACGGCTGGAGCTCTGAGCCCCTGGGATGCGTGACCCCTGGCCAGGCAGATGCGGAGGGGGCGCTGCTCGCGCTCCCCCGCAGCGTGACGAAGCAAGTGCCGTCCCGATCATGTCCGCCTCGATGCCTGGGGCCGGTCCAAGCTCGATCAGCACAAGCTGCCAGCCCCCCTCCCAGACACCACCCTGGCCGGTTTGGGGGCCCGCCTCCAGTCGTGGCTACCATGAGGTCCAGAAACAAACAAGTGCATGATCTTTCTTCTTGCCTCCCCCTGTCCCGTCCTTCACGCGCTTCGGCAGCGAGAGTCAACGCCGGAAGTCACAGCAGCATCTGCTCAATACGGGCCCCCAGAATTTTCTGGGGTCCATCTTGGGCAGCTTCTCGAGCTGCGTCCAGCCGTTGCGACAAGGGTGGCCAATCTGATACAGTCAACATGCACGGTAAGGATGGGCAACCTTCCCAAGGGTACTTTTGCATCCTTCCTTCCTCGGTCCATCTTTGGCCACTTTCGTTAGCCGTGCCCCGCTCGAAACCCTTCGAAATGGGCGTCCAAGGCCCTTGCATCTCTATCGCGCATCCTTATGATATGGGCCGACTGTAGCCAAAAAACACGATCCAGCTGCCCGCGACAAGTCCCGTCGCCGTGCCAGCTACACTCTCTGCGTGGTGTCGCTGCGAGCGCTGCCCAGGAGGCCGCAGCGTGTGACGCCTCTCGTCTCTACAGCGGAGACCCATGCCAAGAAGCACCCTGTTTGCCTCCGGGGTGCCCTGGTTTCTTGGGCTTCGATGGTTTGGCGACGGAGAGCATGCCTTCCACACCAAAATCGAGGGACGCCCTGGGGTCTCAGGGCTGGGTTTCTTTTGGAAGGTTTCTTGTGGACTGGCCCCGCTGCATGCCTCGTTTCTCGTGGAGCCCACCTGGAGTCTCCGGGGCTGCCCTGGGGGCCTCGCTGGGCCCTCCTGGAGCCCCCTGGGCTGTCCCGGGTCCCTCTTGAGCCGCTTTGGAACCCTCTTGGGGCCTGTCCTGGGCCGTATGGGTGGTTTCCTCAGGGCGCTTACTAGACCCCTTTGCTCCCTCACTGATTCCCCCGAGTCCCTCGCGAAACCATGCCGAGCCGAGAGGTTCGGGAGACGCCACATGTACAGAAGCCGTCTGACCTCCGTCCTCGTTGGAGCGATTCCCTTCTGGTGGGCTTCTTGGCGTCTTCGCCCATGCCTTGGAACCTCCTGAGGTCCATTGGGTTCAGCCACGCGCAGAGGGGGGTGGGGGAAGGGGGAGGGCTTCTTAGAAGCACCCATGCTTCTTAGAAGGTGCGGGCCTTATCTATAGATGTAAGGCCGGCGCCTGCAAAGAAGCAGCCTCCTTCTAAGAAGCCTTTCCCCCTCCCCCCCCACCCCCCCTGTGCGCGCCGCCAATCGGTGTCCCTCGAGATTTCCGTGGGGTCTGTGGCGTGCCTCCTGCGCCAATGCTGGGCCACGCTGTCGGCCTCGGCGGCCTGCCCGGGCCGTCTTGGCACCATCGGAGAGCCCCGGGGAGCCCTTGGGAGACGTCCTGGCGCCCAGGGAACCTCCCCAGACCCCTTCGCGCTGTGAAAAAAAACAGGACGGGAGGCTGTTCGCTATGTTGTTCGCTACTTTTTGCTTCCAGGGGCCCTTACCCGGCCCCGGGGCCGACAAAACACGACTCAGGATTAAAAACCGGTCCCGTGGAAGGGGTCCAGACCTCTGGGGGTCGAAGTTGCTAAAGAAATCACGACGTCGGGGGTCTGGGTCGGGAGGAGGGCCTCAGAAGATTTACTTGAGAGACTCTGGAAGACAGCACTTCGCATTCTACCACGCCTCAAGGTGCCAGGGGGCACGATCCGGAGCCACTTTCGCTCAAGGTGCTTTTGAGCTCAGGTGCTCTTCGACAGGGTACGCACCGTGCAGTGGAAACCCATACCAAGAAACAGCCTGCTTGCCTCCAGGGTGCCCTGCAGGGTTTCTTAGGTTTCGGTGGTCTTGCGATGGAAAGCGTGACGTTCGCACACCAATGATCAATGGACGTCCTGGGGTCTCAGGGCTGAGTTTCTTGTGGATCGGCCCCCACTGTACAGCACTCTCCCCGCCGCGAAGCTGCCATGGCCGCTCTGCTGCGTCGTGGCCGCGGCCTCCTCAGGGGAGCCGCCGCACCGTCGGCGGCGCGGCTGACCTCCACGAGCACGGTGCAGCCCACGCTGAAGGCCATGCCGGGGGTCCTCGCGGGCACGCCCAGCACGAGGAGCCCCCACGCGGTCGTGGACTGCGCGGCGATCAACGGCGGGAAGCAGCTCATCGTCGAATTCGCGGACAACACGCGTTACGAGATGCACGCCTCCTGGCTCAAGGACTCCAACCCGGCCCGCGCGGGCGCGGACTACTACCGCACCTGCGCGGAGGACGTGTGGAGCGTGCGGAAGTACAGCATCTCCGGCGCGGAGCCCCAGGGCGGCGGCGAGCAGCTCTCCGTCGCCTACGAGCACGCCGAGGCCCGAGCGAGGAAAACAACGCCACAGACATAACTAAACGTTCGGCGCTCCGCGCGGGTTTCTTGGATCCGCGCTGGCCCCCCCCCCCTCCCGGCGGCGCCTCCGGCGCCGCCCCTGGCGCGCTCCGCGCGCCAGGGAGAGGGGAGAGGGGTCCAGCGCAGATCCAAGGAATCCGCGCGGAGCGCCCAAAGTGTATGTTATATGGCGTTTTCTCTTCTGCCGGAGGCGGGCCCCGCCGAGCCCGAGGTCTTCAGCGCGCGGTGGCTCCACGCCATGGCGCCCTTCGTCGGCCGGGCCCTGCACCCCGAGGCACCCCGCGTGCCGGCCGTGCGGGAGACCGGCAGCCTCATGGACCACCTGATGGACAGCCGCAAGCCTTGGGACGCCCAGGCGGGGCCCACGCGGGGCGTTCCAAAACTCCAGGCCTCCTGGATGGGGTCGGAGTAGACGGAGTCGGAGGATCGCGCCGCATCGCCGAAGGAAGCATCGACCATGCGGCTCGATGCGGAGCCCGATTTCCTCTACGCCGGCATCGCCGATGCATCGCCCACGTCGACGATGCATCGCAGGTGCATCACCGGTGCTTCGCCGATACATCGCCGATACATCGCCGATACATCAGCGATCCTCCGACCCCATCTACTCCGACCCCATCTAGGAGGCGTTCCAAAACTGGCCGCGCCTTCGAAATTCGAAGGAGTTGTCATCTCTTCCGCCGCGGAAGGCGGCGGAGGGTCGGCGGAAGTAAGACGAGGCCGCCTCCGCCGGCGGAAGCTCGGCGGCAGGCTGCGGAAGTAAAAAATGCGTCCCCGAGAGATGAAAACGTTTTGGGGTTCAGGGTTTCCGAAATCGCCCATGTCGATCCGAATGATACACGCCGGACGTTGAACGTAGGTAGTTTGGGACCCCCAGATCCCAATCTCTTTCAGGCGCCTTCTTGCTTCGAAAGTCGAGCGGATTTTGCCTCTCCCGCCTCTTCAGGGGGCGGGCGGCAACCCAATATGCTTCCAACGCCTTCCTGCTTCAGTTTCTACCCACTCCTTACGACCGACGTGTACGATTCGACATCGGCTCCGGTTGGCCCGATTCGGGTCGATTCCGATTGTCGGGCCATCCGATGCAGCCAGGTGCTTGCACGGCGCTGTTGTGCAGCTTGGCGCCGCCGATTCGCTTCGGTTCTGACCCTGTGCTGGTGCGGCCCGATGCGATGCATGTTCCGATCCGATCTGCCTCCTCCTCCTCCTCCTCCTCCGCCTCCTCCTCGTCCTCCTCCTCCTCCACCTCTTCCTCCTCCTCCTCCTCCTCCTCCTCCTCCTCCTCCTCCTCCTCTTTGTCCTCCTCCAACTCCTCCTCCTCCTCCTCCTCCTCCTCCTCCTCCACCTCCTCCTCCTCCGGGCCCCAAAACCGTCAGAAAACGGCTCAGGATGAAGATCTGGTCTTGGGGGAAAGCCCTGGGGTCCAGGACACGTTCCCCACCCATGCTGAAAGGTCGACATGCCCAAGTTCGACTCCAAGTTGCTCGAGACAGACATTGATGCGCAGGTGGAGTTCTACGAGTGCATGATCAAGACGGGCGTCGCCATGATCACTGGGATTGGCAAGCCAGACAGCCTGGAGTTCGAACTCGGCGGCTTGCCGATGGAGAACCACGTTCGGAAGATCCTTGGCAAGTGCAACCAGCATCCCGTGCGGACCACCAGGTACTCTTACATCCGGAAGACGGAGAAGCCCCAGTCGGGGGACTACGACCACTCCAACCCGCTGTGCATGCACACCGACCACACCGTGTACCACGGCACCCCAGGCTTCCTCCAGTTCCTGTACCAGGCGGAGGGCGACGTGCGCAGTAAGGTGTGCGACGGCCTCGCCATTGCCGAGTACGTGAAGGAGCACCACCCAGAGGCCTACGAGCTGCTGACCAAGGTCCACATCACGCACAGCTCCCGCAACAACCTGTACACCAGGGAGGGCCAGCCGATCGACCCCACCGACCCGAACAGCAAGGGCGACGCCTTCGAGCTGGTCCACACGCACCCGATCCTCGGCTTCGACGAGAAGGGGCGCCTGGACAAGGTGGTCCAGTCCGAGACCAAGCGCGGCGTCTGCGCGCTGCCGTACGCGATGTACGAGCCCTTCATGGAGGCCTACGTGCTCTGGTCCCAGCTCGTCGAGGACCCGCGCTTCGTCCACCACTTCGACTGGCCAGAGGGGACCATGGTCGTGACCAACAACTGGCGCGTCCTCCACGGCCGCGCCGCCGTCCCTCCGGGCATGTCGCGCGCCGTGGCCATCGGGTACGTCAACCGGAACACGGTGGAGAACCGCTACCGGCTGCTCCGGCAGTACCAGGCCGAGCGGGCCGACCCGTCGCTGGACCACAGGTGGCTGACGCGGGTGCCCAACCAGGCCCTGGAGAGGATGGTGCTGTGAACGGGCCCTTGTCGGCAAGGCAGCGGAGAAAGTTGAGGTGAGGAGGATGAGGTGAGGAGGAGGAGGAGGAGGAGGAGGAGGAGGAGGAGGAGGTGAGGCAGGCATTTTATGCGATTGAGTTCACAGAGAGACGCAGCCCCACACGAAGCTCAGAGGTATCGCTGGGCCCTGCAATGTGTGGCAGGGGAGCTTTCTGTACCACGGTGATGTCTAATTGCGCTGCAGGAGCCTGTAAACGGGAAGATTTTGGGGCACGACCCCCCACAGGACGAGCGCCAATTCGTTTCTCCCATTTGACTTCTTAGGCTGCCGCAGACAATTCTCTGAAGCACGGGAATTGTACCAGGCGGCAGCGGCCTCCCTCTCTCCTCTCCTCTCCCTCCTCTCCCCCCTTCCCCTCACCTCCGCGCTGGCCTTTGCCCGCGCTGGCGCCGTCCAGGCGCTTCCCAGGAGGCCCGTGTACAGACCGCGCCCCCCCCCCTGCCGCGCCCGATTCCTGCGCATGCGCAGCATGGGCGCCTGGAGACTGCACGAGTGGCGCCGCGCCGGCCGCGCGCCGTCCCCACCGGAGCGCTGCTGCCTCGCCCGGGCCCCTGCGAGCCGCAAACGGGAGGATGTTGGGGCGCGACCCCCCGCGGCCCAGGCGCTCGGGGCCTGCTGCTCGCGCACTTCGACTGCGGGGGGGGGGGGGCTGCAGAAGCGGCTTGCCCCGAGATGCAAGTGTTCGCCGAGTCGACGGGGATGCGCGAGACGGTCCGTAGAACAGCGGAGCAGTCTACGCATGTTTCGTGGACCCGACGAGAGAAGTGAAGTCTGGGGTAAGTCAATTCTGTCGTCGACCCCCTGCCCGAGGACTTGCCTCAGGCTGGCGTGGCGAAGCCGGCGGGCGTGCGCGGGCCTCGGAGCTCGCCGTGCACGTGCTTCCCGCGCCGGTGCCGTTGGCGGAGGCTGGCCAGAGGGAGGCCCAAGTCCCTGCCGGGGCGACCGCAGAAAATGGAGCCTCCCCTACAGGCTGGAGGCCGTCGCGAACACAGAAAAATCAGAGCCCCGAATCATCAGGGGTAACTCGGGTCAGGGATAACTCGGGTTCGTTTTTCGGGAATCCAAGCCCGAGTTACCCCGGACCCGAGTTACCCCGGATAACTCGGGCGCCCAAAAAAAAGAGACGTGCCAGGGGGCACGGAGGCGCACGGAGCACGAGGAGCGCGAGGCGAGGTCCGCAGCCCTGGCCGCGGCGGGCCCAGAGCGCCACGCTGCTGCCGGGCATCGGGCGAGAGCCACGCTGGGAGTCGCGCCAGAGTCTGTCCTCGAGGCCAGTCCCCAGGCCCCTCCTTGGGCCCATCCTTCGAAGAAGGGAAGAACGCCATAAGCATAAGCTTGTGGCGCTCCGCGCGGATTACTTGGATCCGCGCTGGGCCCCCTGGCGGCGCCTCTGGCGCCGCCCCTGGCGCGCTCCGCGCGCCAGGGAGGTGGGTCCAGCGCAGATCAAAGAAATGCGCGCGGAGCGCCAAAAGTTTATGTTTATGTGGTTTTCTTCTTCTGCAGACCCCTCCCTGGGCCCATCCTGGCCAGTTGCTCGATCTGCGTCCGGCCGTGGCGGCGAGGGGTCCCCACGAAGGCCAAACACCCTGCCCAGCTGCCCGCGGCAAGTGCCGCCCGCCACCGTGCCGGCGAAGCACTCCGTGTGGCGGCGCTGCGAGCACTGCCCAGAAGGCCTCAGCATGTGACACCTACACCTATCGTCTCTATCCGAAAGTCGGGCGTGTCCCTCTACAGGAGGAAAATTCATAAATAGTTAAGAAATAGTCTGGGGACGATTGTCCGATCATTTTTGAAATAATGAGTACGTTTGGTATGTTTAATTTCTCATCCAAAGTCCGCCTGTAGGGGGACACGCCAGAACTAAACTTACACCTTTCGTCTTATGCCGAAGACGCATGGCAAGATCACTCACGCGTCTGTGCTGTCATAGAGTGCTTCAACAGACAACGCACACAAAGGACCAAGCCCGCGACTGGCACGGATTGAAACAGAAAGCGCGCTGCGCAGAGACAGCACGAAGCTCGAACAAGCGGCAGCGCCTCGTAGCGGCGCGCGCTGTAAGCCAGAGGTGATGTGACAGAGTCTGCCAAAAGTCTATCCTGGCCTCGACACCTCGCTCTCCTTGCGTCTCCTCTATCTCCTGTCGGGAGCTCACGGGGCCTGCCTGGGCCGTCTTCGGGCTCTCGTGGGGCCCTCTTGGGCCGCCCCGCCCTGGTGCCATCTTGGGCCGCCTGCGTGCCGCCTCGGGCCGGCCTCGGCCCACCTCGGGGCCCTCCGGTCAAGCAGTGGCGAAGCGTGCTGGCTCGCCTATAGGCCCACCAAATAATGTTCTAAGAACCATCTGTGGTTTCCACGAAATGTTCTTGGAACATTTCTGGCTGGGACTGTCTTGTTTAACATATCGGATTTACGTTCTAAGCACATTTTGTTATTGGATTTTTGGGGTTCGAGGAACATGTCGTGGTAGGCCTATAGGAATGCCAGAACGGTCGGTCCCTGCCCAATCCTGGGGCCTTCCTGGGCCATCCTTGGGTACCCTATGGCCTATGGGGCCCTGTTGGGCTGTCCTGTGGGGCTCCGTCGAGCCATCTTGGGGCCCTCTCGGCCCGTCCGCGCCCACGGGGGGCGAGGCCTGCGGCCCTGGCCGCGACAGCCAGGCCAGGCCAAAGGTCCGTGCAGATCCGATCGGTCCGTCTCGACGTCGATTCCGGCGAGCCTTGCTCGACTCGAGTCCAATCAGTATGCCGACGATTTTGTGCGACCCGATGCCTGCATGGCGCCGGTGTGCATCCTGGCGCAGCCGCTCCGATTCGATCTCGATTCCGTTCTGGTGCGGCCCGATCAGACGCACTTTCCGATCCGATCCGGCTTCCCGATTCGATGTTGTTTGGTCCTGCCCAGACGGAAGCCCTCTTGGGCAATCCTTGGACATTATTGGGCCCTCCTGGGCTGGGGCCCTCTGAGAGAGCTGCGTGTTTTGGAAGTCGAGTTCGACTTCCAAAAGACTGCGTCCGTATGGAAGTCCAATTCGGCTGCCACAAACTATGTATTCTTGAACATCGACGTACGATTCCAAATCTTATCCAGCGCGGGCCCTAAACAGTGAGTTTCTAGCCATCTATTTGGTGTATTCATGTGGAGCAATTAGTCACTTGCTCAACTTGAAGCTGTCCTCTCCACTGCTCCTGCAAACATCCCACCCTCCCACCCGCCACTTGGTCGCAAGACCTCTTAAGACAATGACGATGGGTACCAAATGGTACTTGGCAACGATGCCGACGACGACAGCGACAGCGACGACGACGCCGCCGACAACGACTACGACAGCACCGACGACGTCCCCAACGACTTCGACGACGACGACAACGACGACGACGACGACGACAACACCGACGACGACGACGACGACGACGGCGACGACGAAGACGACGACGACGACGACGCCGCCGACGACGGACGACGACGACGACGCTGACGACGACGACGACGACGACGACGGCGACGGCGACGACGAAGACGACGGCGACGTCGCCAACGAAGACGACGACGACATGGACGACGACGAGGAAGGAGGGAGGACGACGAAGGCGACGACGACGACGACGACGACGACGACGAGGGAGGAGGGAGGACGACGACGACGGAGACGACGACGACGACGACGACGACGACGACGACGACGACGGCGACGAAATAGGAGGGACAACGACGAAACGCCGACGAAGACGACGAGGGAGGAAGGACGACCACGGCGACAACGACGACGGAAACGACGACGACGCCAAGACGACGACGACGACGAGGAAAGACAGAGGTCGACGACTGCGACGACGACGACGACGACGAGGGAGGAGGGAGGACGGCGACGACGACGACGACGACTCATGAGCGCGCGCGCACGCTTTTGTTGAAAATCCGTGTTGCGAAACCTTGTGTTGTTGTATGTTTTCTGGACACACGATTTTGAGATCCTTCCGACACCGAAGGTTTTTGAAGGATTCCGGCATGCGCTCGCGACTGCACGCGCGCAAGGGCGTTCGAAAGATTTCGACATGCACGCGCGAAGCCCGTTTGGTACTATGTTTGGAAAAACTGAAAAAATGGTTTTCTAAAGATTTCGCAAGAGCGCGCGCGTAAGTTTTTTTAGAACATCGGCGTTGTCAAACCATGTGTGTTTTGCATGTTTTTGGGAAGCTCGGTTTTGAAATTCTTCCGGAACCGAAGGTTCTTGAAGAATTTCGGCATGCGCGCGCGACGACGCGCGAGTGTGCACATCGTCCCGTCTGTCGCAAGGGATTTTTCCAATCTTATGATTGCTGATAAACGAGAGCGCGCGCATAGTATTTGTTGCAGAGGATGGCGGGGGGAGTGATACCGGCCTGGCTGGGATAGAATGGAATCATATTTATGATAAATATGCAGTGCGCAGAACAAATATGAAATCGCGATACCCCAGGGGATACCGTTAACTCCGGGGGGAAGGGAGTAGAGTCTATTTTTCTCTTAGAGAGGAGACTTAATTTAGGAACAAAAAAACAAAAAAACAAAAAAAACTTGAAACAAACGCTACTGCTCGCGCAGTCGCCCCGCCCACCCACCCACCCGCAACTTGGCTTACAAAACACATGCGGTGGCGATTGTGATGAGTGCTTGACGTTGGCTGGTCCATCTCTGCGGCCACGCCAACCCAAGCACGCACGCGCACAGTGGCCCGCTAGTTTGGCGCGACCGACGCGGCCGCGGTGGCGCTGACCACTGGGCACTTCCCAGCGGGCACTTCAGTGCGAGTCGGTGACTTGGGCGCGCGGTATCATGGCGACGTCGACAACACTACACGCGATGATGCTACTAGCGATGCTGGTGGCGATGATGGCAATGTCGACGGCAAGGCCAATGACGGCACCGATGTTCATTACGTCGATGACGATGACGGCGTCCTCTCGTCGGTGATGAAGGTTTTGGAATGAGTTCGACATACGCGCGCGGACGACATGGTGTTAGTTATTGGACAGGGACCGTGCCCACCCCCCACCCCCCCAGCACACGCGCGAGGGCGTGCAATCTAAGTGGTGCTATCCAACGGAGGCGACGGGCGGCGACGAGGTTGCGACGGGGCGGCGACAACTGGCACGGAACCGCCAGATTGACACACAATCCCAGGCGACGAGCGCCGACAAAGCGGCCATTGGGAGGCGACGGCCGGCACGGAGCCGCCAGACGGGCCACACGGCCCAGTTGAATAGAGCACACGTAAGAGCCAGCAAGAAGGCCTACGTGCAGGCACCGTTTTGGAGAAATCAGTGAACTGCACGTTTGGGGACGTCGCGCTCGACCTCAAAAAGACTGGCGTGACTGCGTGCGCTCGGAAATGCCAGCGAACGCTAGGCCTGCAACCCCAGCCGCGACAGCCCCAAATTGAAGCACTTTGCTTCGGGGCCCCAAAAACTGGTGACGGACCGCGTGGTGACCTCGAAACCCTGAAACGCTCCACCTCGCGGTCCGTCACAGCAAGGTCTTTGGACCTCGGAAGCCCCGGTCGCCCGTGACGTCCTCGCAAAACGACCCAAGCCTCAAGACCGCGCTGCGACCCCGAATCCCCACGGACTCGCCAAGCGCTGTGTCACCACATCGTTTGGGGGCCCCCGATTTGCCCTCCCCTGGACGGCAGCAGGCGAGCCGCCGCGCGGCGGCGCCGCCTGGCGCCGGCGTAGCCGTCGCCGCCCTCGCGGCGGCCGCGGGGGCCGCCGGCGCCACGGCCTCCAGGGGCGCCAAGGCCCGGGCCGCTCGGCGACGGCCGCTCGGCGGCGGCCGCCTCGGCCTGGGCACTCGGCCTGGGCACTGTGCGGCGGCGGCGGCCGAAGCGACGACGGCGGCATGAGCGGCGGCGGCGGCGGCGGCGGCGGCGGTGACGACGACGACGACGACGACGACGACGACGACGACGACGACGACGACGGCGACGACGACGACGACGACGACGACGACGACGACGACCGACCTGCTTGTCGCGCCAAGGCGGCGACCGGGGGCGGTGCCGACTGCGACGGTGGCGGCGTCGACTGCGACGTCGACTGCAACGGCGGCGGCGGGACGAGGGCGGCGGCGGAGTCGGTGGCCGCGGCGGTCAGGTCGGACAGCTGTCCGAGGCCCGGCGGGCGGTCAACGCCCTGCGGCTCGGCGAGGAGGCGGCCGCTCGCGCCGCCTCGTCGTGCTCCCCGGAGCCCGCCCCCGCCGACGACGCCGAGGATGACGCCGAGCGGCGGCGACGGCGACGCTGTCGACGCTGTCGACGCTGTCGACGCTGTCGATCACGGGTTTGGATTCCAGGGCGCGATCCTGCGGACACGCTGTCGCAAGGATACGTTCCGCGCGGGGCATCCGCGAACAAAACGCCCCGCATCCGCGGTGTCGCGGCCCAAGGGCCAGCCCGCGAGGCCGCGGTTACGGGTACGTTTTTGTTGCCCAGAGTCGGCGCCGACGCAGAGCGGCGGCGGCGACGACGTTGTCGACGCTGTCGGCGACGGAGGCGCCGTCGACGCCGAGCGGCGGCGACGGCGACCCAGATCTCCGGCGACTTGTTTCTCAGGGCTCATCCTTGGCTTCGACGCACCCTTCGGGCAATTCCGCTGACTGTCCCGCCCAGGGTCCTCCTAGGGCGCTCCTACGGCGCTTCCAAGGATCTCTCAGGGCGCTCACAGGGCCCTTCCGGATGTTTTTCCTCGATCTCGACCTCCTGGGGCCGGCTTTTGGGTCCCTGGGCCACCACAAATGGATCTGGGGCGAAGATTTGGCCCTAGGGGAAGGGTCGGGACCTCTGGGGCCGCGCATGGGAAACATGTTCGACAGCCTGGGCCGCAAACAGCGATTTCTTGCAATCTACGCGGCGCAATCTGCAATGCAAAGCAATGCGAAACAATGCAATACGGTGCAAAGCAATGCGAAGCCATGCAGAGCAACGTAATGCGATGCAAAGCAACTCAAAGCAATGCAAACCAATCCCAAGCAACGCCAACAAATGCCAAGCAATGACAAGCAATGTCAAAGTAATGCACAGGAGTGCAAAGCAATACAAAGCACAGCAAAGAAATGCAAAGCGATGCAGAGCAATGCAAAAGTAATGCCGTGCAACTTGAAGCGAAGCATCTATGGTATGCTGTGCTGTGCTGTTCTGTGCTATGCTATGCGCGTGGACGAGTGCGAGGGGACGAGTCTGAGTCGACGAGTGCAAGTGGTGGCGACGGACACGGCGGCGACGGGCGGCGACGACGGGCGCCGACGAGCCGGCCTTATTGGCAGGCAGGCTCCATTGACGGCGGCGACGGGCGGCGACGAGCCGGCTGGACTGGCACGCAGGTTCATTTACAAGGGCTCCCACGAGGGCGCGAAGTTATTCGCGCTTCGCGCTTCGCGGTCCTCGTTCCTTCTCCCCCCTCCTCCTCGTCCTCCTATTCTCCCTTTGGGAGGGCGGCGCGAGAGCGCGAAGTTATTCGCGCTTCGCGCTTCGCGCAGCGCGAAGCGCGAAGTTGGGAGCCCTAGCATTTACCTGAGAAGGGGAGCAAGAACCCCCTGAGTGCAAGAATATTTTGGGGAGTTCCCCCGGCAGAGCACCCTCACAGCAGCAAGGATGACGGGGGCTGCCGAGGGGTGGGAGGTCGACTGCCGCGGACAGGGGCGAGAGCACGGCCATGTGCACCTCCGCGCATTCGTGCACCAGGGATCGTGGCTGCCCAGACCAAGAGCGTAGCCGGCATTGAGGCGAGAGCGCGATCTCTTCATACACGTTAGCCAGCGTGGGCCCCAAGCAGTGCGTTCTAGCATGCTACGTCCTGCAATATATGTGGTGCAGTCTACGTGGTGCAATCTAAGTGGTGGAATTAATCTTTGACCGTCTGGAAGCTGTCCTCTCCACTGCTCGTGCAAACATCCCACCCTCCCACCCGCAACTTGGTCGCAAGACCTCTTCAGACTAGACCGTGACGGTACGTACCACATGACACTTGGCCACGACACCGACGTCGACGACGACAGCGACAACGACGACGACGGCGCCGCCGACACCGACTACGACGACACCGACGACGTCTCCAACGTTTTCGACGACGACAACGACGACACCGACGACGACGACGACGACGACGACGTCAACGACGCCGACGACGACGACGACGACGACGACGACGGCGACTACGACGACACCGACGACGTCTCCGACGACTTCGACGACGACAACGACGCCGACGCCGACGACGAAGACGACGACGACGTCGCCAACGAAGACGACGACGAGGGAGGAGGAAGGACGACGACGGCGACAGCGACGACAACGACGACAACGACGAGGGAGGAGGGAGGACGGCGACGACGCGAAAGATGGAGAAGGAGGAAAGACGGCGGCGCCGACGACGACGAAGGAGGAGGGAAGACGACGACGACAACGGCGACGACGACGACGGCGACGAAATAGGAGGGACGACGACGAGACGCCGACGACGGACGACGACGACGAGGGAGGAGGAGCAAGGACGACCACGGCAACAACGACGACGGAAACGACCACGACGCCAAAGAGGACGACGACGACGACGAACACGAGGAAAGACAGAGGACGACGTAGGCGACGACGACGACGACGACGACGACGCGGGAGGAGGACGGCGACGGCGACGACGACGACGACGACGACGACGCAAGAGCGCGCGCGCACTCTTTTGTTGAAAATCCGTGTTGCGAAACCTTGGGATTGTGTAGGCTTTTTGGACACGATTTTGAAATCCTTTCGAAACCGATGGGTTTTGAAGGATTTCGGCATACGCGCGCGACGACGCGCGCGTCTGCACTTTGTCATGTTTTTTGCAGAGGATTCTCGCGACGGCACACGCGCAAGGGAGTTCGACAGATTTCGACATGCGCGCGCGCGAAGCCCGTTTAATAGCATTTTGTGAAAATCTTGAAAAACCTACGGTTTTCTTAAGATTTCGCAAGAGCTCGGGCGGAAGCTTTTTTAGCAAATCAGTGTTGCGAAACCCGGTGTTTTTTGTATGTTTTTATGGGAACTCGATTGCGAAATCTTTCCGGCACCGAAGGTTTTTGAAGGATTTCGGCATGCGCGCGCGACGACGCGCGCGCTTGCACTTCGTCCCGTTTTTTTGCAAGGGATTCGTGAACAAATGTTATGTGGGAGCAACAAATGTCACCGCATAGTGTTTTTTTTTTTTTTTACAAGGGACCCTCAGAGGGGGGATACCGGCCCCCCTGGGATAGTGAAAACTCATATTTAGAATGGACATGTGGTCAGAATCGTACATGATTCACATACCCGAAAGGGGTAGTGATAACGCCGGGGGGGTAGATCCTATTCTGTTTTAAGGAAGGAGAATCTATGCAGCGTAATATACATTAGTTTATGTATATATGGATGCGTTCACCACCTTAAGCCGAGTAGTGTCGCATCTGGCCGCAGGAACATGGTTCCGTAATCCTCAAGGCTCGAGCAAGCCCAGCCCATGCAGTTGTTGGGCCGGAGCGTGGTTCCAGATCTCGCCCGAGGAGTCTTGCAGGCGTCATTGAGTGTACGGCCCCTCCCGAGGCGGCCAGAGTGTAGGCCAGGGCCCAAGCAGGCCCTGGCGCGAGCGTCAGGCCCATAGAGGCCCTAGTGCATGATCTGGGCCCTAAGAGGCCCCCTGTGCAAGCCCCGTGCAGGGCTGGACTGAGAGGAGCGGGGCATCCCCGCCGAACCTGTTATGGCTCGAAGATGATCCATCGAGTGAGATCGTCATCTCTGCATGGTGACAGATTGTGAGGTTGCCTGAACCTACCCTTCAGGCCAGTGGCGCCAGCGCGCCATGGCGGCCGACAACGGAGCAGCTGGGGTGCAGCTGCTGGACTCTCGTGGGATCGGCAAGGTGCCGACATTCTCAGGCAAGAGGGAGGACTTCGAGGATTGGATCTTCCCGTTCGAATACTTCTGCGGCCTGCTGGGCTGGACGGCGGGCCTGGAGAGGTCAAGAGAAGCTGAGGAGCCGCTGACTGCGGAAAAGCTCGGCGAGCAAGGAGTGCTGGTAGGCAGGAGCTTGTACCACCTGCCGGCGAGCACCACGAAAGGCGCGGCGCAGAGCATCGTCAAGCTCTGCCCGCGAGGCGACGGCTTCGAAGCAATGCGGAGGCCGTGCAAGGAGTACAGGCCGAGGCTGAATGAGGAGCACGGCCAGATGCTCCAGCAGATCCTGACGCCGACGTGGTGGAAGGATCGCGAGGGGAAGGAGCGCTTCACAGAGGTGCTGGTCGCTTGGGACGAGTTGATCTCGAGGTATGAGCGCGCGACTGGAGAGCAGGTCACGCAGAACATGAAGACGAGCACGATCATGGCCCACGCACCAGAGGAAGTGAAGGTCATGCTACGCTCGGCGCAGCGTGAGGTGCGCAGCGACATCACGCAGATGAGGAACTGCATCTTCGAGGCGGTGATCGGCCAGAGTGGAGTGGTCTCGAGGCCGCCGACAGCGAACAAGGGGAGCAACGACATGGACGTCGACGCGATCTCCAAGGGCAAGGGCAAGGACAGCAAGGACAAGTGCCAGATCTGCCACAAGCCGAGCCACACGGCCCGCGACTGCTTCTGGCGTGACAAGGGGAAGCAGAAGGGCGACGGAAAAGGTCGAGGGGCAGGCGCGGGATCCAAGGGCGGAAAGGACGCCAAAGGCAAAGGCAAGGACAGCTACACCTTCACGGGGGGAAGTGCGACTATCGCCACAAGACGGGCCACAAGAAGGCAGAATGCAAGAAGCGGATCGCCGATGAGAGGGCCAAAGGCAATGCGGCCATCGAGCAGGAGAGCACGGACCCGAAGACGGTAGCCAAGATCGAGTACGCGGAGTACGAGCGCGGGATCTGCGACGACGACCAGCTCTACTGCATGGCGATGGAGGTGGAGGACCCCGAGACGGAGTGCTGCGGCATGGAGCTCGAAGAGACGACCTTCATCACGCTGGACACGGCGAGCGACTGCCACGTGGGGCCGATTTGCTTCGGAGAAGGATGCAGGAAAGGCGAGGATCGCGGACCAAGGCTGCTGGATGCGCAGCAGAATGAGATCAAGATGGGCTCCATTGCGACGGTGCCGATGGCGGTTGCTGACGACTGCGAGCAGCTGAAGCTGCTGAAGGCGGACTTCAGGCTGGGTGGCACGGCGTCGAAGCCGATCCTTTCGTTGCTGGAGGTGATGGACAAGGGCGCCGAGTTCTGGCTGAGCGCGAAGACGGGCATGTGCATGTACCCTGGCGGTGACCTCAGCAGGGGCACCCCACTCACCAGGAAGAACAACACGCTGGGATTCAACGCGAAGACCTTCAAGACAGCTACGGAGGCGAAGGAGTTCGCGGCCAGCGTGAACGCGAATGAGCAGCAGGAGGAGGCGTTCGCGCCGACGCCTGGGGCTGCGGGCAGCGGAGCAGCGACAGCGGCGCCGGCTGCACCGGCGGCTGCCGCCTCGGATCCAGCGCGAGGTGGAGCAACTGAGGGCGCGGGAGGAGAGCGACTGGCTCGACATCCTGTGCTACTACGCGAAGGTCAGGAGATCGTCCTGCACCCTTCCAGCCGCGCGGAGGACATGCGGGCGAGGCTCAAGGAGATGGGCCAGCCAATCTACGGCAGAAAGGGCGAGCTGCGGGCTAGGCTCAGCGATGCGGAGCGGAGGCTCACGGCGCACCACATGAAGATGAAGGAGTTGGAGCGCAGGCACGAGGAGTCCGTTCAGGGAGGACCCTCGATAGCACCACGAGAAGTAGCAGGGCCAGCAGCGCCCACGGATGCAGAAAGAGCAGCTCATGAACTGCTTCACCTCGCGAGGGCGCCGTGGTGCGAAGCCTGCGCGCGGGGAAACGAGACGACCAAGCCGCACAAGACCCTCACATTCGATCAGAAGGACACTGGGAAGGCGCAGAACACCCTGGACTTCTGCTACCTGAAGACCAACGGCGACTGGGCGGAGATCGGAGATGTGGAGCCGCCAGCGGCGGACATCTTCGCGACGACGCTCGCGATGGCAGACAGGGGCACGCTGATGTTCAATGCGGTCTCGATGCCCGCCAAGGCGGTCACGGACTACGCAATAGCCAGCGTGAGCAGCTTCATCGAGGGCATGCATCTCACGACGGCGGACATCAAGACGGACGGCGAGCCCACGATCGTGAACTTGGTGGAGGAGGTGCGGAAGAGGCTGAACAAGAGCATCAAGCTGGAGGAGAAGCGTGGGAACCTGAGGGACAGCCAGAGCATGGGCGCGATCGAGGCTCCGATCAGATAGTTTCAGGCGAAGGTGAGGACGTACAAATTCGACCTGGAGAAGCGCTATGCATGAAGATCACGGCGGACGCACCGATCTGGTGCTGGCTTACAGGATACGTTAGCTGGGCTACCTCTACGTACAGACCACGAGCCGATGGGAGGACATCCCATCAGGCAGCCTACGGAGTGACCTACAACGGAGAGATTCTCCCCTTTGGCGAGACGGCTCTCTTCAAGACCCCGATCTCCCACACGAGGCAGATCACGACCACGTCGCTGAAGCGCAAGGGCGAGTCGAGTTTCGTGAAGGGTATCTGGATCGGGAAGCACAAGGAGAGCGACGACCACTTGTTCTTGACGCCAGCAGGCTGGCACCGCGCAAGAACATGCAGGCGACTGGAGCCAGCATTGCGAGCAGATGGTAAGCTGATGAAGGCAGTGAAGGCCCCACCCTGGGACGCGAGGAGCGCTAAGCCGTGCGAGCTACTGCCCAGGATTCAGAGGCCGATGCCCACGATCGTTCTGACGGCGGCGGAGCAGAAGGCGAAGACCGAGGCGCAGGAGGCAGCACGCGTGGCGGCTCCACCCCAGGGGGCGCCCGAGCAGGGGGCGCAGCCGGCTGCAGCAGCGAGCGCGGAGCCATCGTCGGCACCCGCGGGACCTGGAGCTGGAGCAGCAGCGGCGGCGAGACCAGAGGAGAAGAGCACGACGGATGCGGACGCGCCGATGACACCTCGAGGGATGATCAGACCTGCCGATGCTGAGGACTTCGGTGCGCCAGGCAAGCGCGCGAAGCACGTGGACGCCACCTCGCTCGACGACCCTATCGACTACAGCATCCTGGACAGGATGGGCACAGACTGCTACATGACGGTCAGCGGACTGGAGCCCGCGGTGGAACTCAAGGGCAAGCGCGAAGCGCTAGAGGTGCTGGCGCACTACGGGGTGCACAGGGACGTCCCGAGGAGCGAGAGCGGCGAGTTCAAGAGGATCAGGGCGCGCTGGGAGCGGCAGATGCGAGGAGGTATCCGCAAGTGGCGGTATGTGGCGCAGGAGTTCAAGTGGATGGAACAGCGTGACGACGTGTTCGCAGCGAGCTCATCAGCACAGACGAGCAGGCTGGTGGACTTCGTCAGCATCAAGGAGGAGAGCCACGGGACCTTCATCGCAGACTGCGTGAAGGCGCACTACCAAGCGGACCAGACGGAAAAGGTTTGCGTGGAGCCACCTGCTGAGTATCTGGCGATATTGGCGGAGATGGGCAGGCCGACCGATATCGTTCGGGCGCAGAACAAGATGCTACCTGGGCAGCGCGTGGCAGGCGCTGGCTGGGTAGACAAGGCGGCGAAGACTCTGACGGGAGAGGGCTTTGACAGGAGTGAGTGTCAGCCGCAGTTTTACTACCACAGGGAGAAGAAGATCCTGATCGAGGTGCACATGGGCGACTTCCACGGAGAGGGTCCCATCGGCAACCTGGACGGGGTCATCAAACGGCTGCGGGAGGTGTTCGACCTGAAAGCGACGGACGTCATCAGGCAGGGACGCTACTCACACCTGAAGCGTGACAGGCTGAGGCTCATGAACGGCAACATCACGCTGAGGCCGAACGTGAAGCACATTGACGACCTGATCTACGTGATGGGCATGGAGAAGGCCAAGCCAGCGAAGGTGCCAAGCTTGACTGAGGAGGACCCGACATGGAGCCCTGAATTGGACGAGATCGAGAGGGCGAGGTTTCGCACAGGAGTTGGGATCGCGCTCTACATCTCGCCCGACAGAGCGGACATCCAGCGGGACGTGCAGCTGCTGACCAGGAACCTGAGTCAGCCGACGGAGTTTGACAGGAAGCGACTGGTGAAGCTGGTGAGGCGCCTGAAGGGGGCAAAGACGTTTGGAGTGCTTTTGGAGAAGCCAACTGGGAGCAAGCCTGGAGAAGTGAAGCTGCAGTTGTTCACAGGCACGGACTTTGCGACGTGCAAGGAGACGAGGCGTGCGATGACCTGCGGGATCACAAAGCTGGACGGAGTGCACTTCGCAGCGTTTGCGAGGAGGCAAGGAGTTCAGAGCACATCCTCAGGCGAGGCGGAGTTCTACGGCGCGACCTCGGTGGTGATGGACGGCAAGCTGGTGAAGAACGTGCTGGAGTGGTTGGGCTACAAGGTGACCTGGGAGCTCGGGATCGACAGCAGCGCCGCGAAGGCGATGATCAACCGCGAGGGCGTAGGCAAGGTGAAGCACCTGGACGTTCGGGCGCTGTGGATCCAGCAGGAGCGGAAGGTCCACGGACTGAACATCAAGAAGGAGAGTGGAACCAAGAACGTGGCCGACCTAAGGACCAAGGCGCACACCACGGAGCGGTTCGAGTACCTGCGAGAGCTTGCTGGCATCATCGACTGCAGCGAGATGGACAAGCACAAGGAGCTGGAGGCATGCTCGGTGACAACGAGCGCCTGGGCTAAGCAAGGGTTGTTGGCGACACTGCTCGCGCAAGGAGCGACGGGTGGTGCGACCAGGTCAAGTGAATGCGCAGTGCGGGATCTCGACCAGAGTGCAGTTACCCTCTGGGAGGCTACAAAGCTGCAGGACTGGATCGATGACCACATGGCACTGATCATCCTGAGCGTGATGATGATGACATTCGTGGCAGGTGCACTGCTCGGGTGTTGGATCTGCAAGAAGTGGACGACGATGAATAGCGACACGAAGCTAAATCTGGTAAAGCATACGAACATCCCAAATCGGAGAAAGGAGCTGATCAACAAGGTAAGGTTTACGGACAGGCCGACGACGGAGGAGAAGGCGAGTCAATCGCCGTGCACGTACAAGTGGAAGCACACGACGCCGAGGTTCATGGCGCTGCCCGAGGCGAGCCACGGGTGAGAACGAGCTTGCGGCCAATGGCAAGGTGAACGAGGTGATGTGCCTCGACGAGGCGCCGTGGGGGCGTGCAGGCGTCAGTGAGTGCACGGCCCCTCCCGAGGCGGCCAGAGTGTAGGCCAGGGCCCGAGGAGGCCCTGGCACGAGCGTCAGGCCCATAGAGGCCCTAGTGCATGATTTGGGCCCTAAGAGGCCCCCTGTGCAAGCCCCGTGCAGGGCTGGACTGAGAGGAGCGGGGCATCCCCGCCGAAGCTGTTATGGCTCGAAGATGATCCATCGAGTGAGATCGTCGTCTCTGCAAGTCTAGAACAGCCTCCTCCTCTGGGCGCAGGCGCCGCCCCTTTTGCCGCGATTGCCGCCCCGTGGTGCGACTGGGACGGCGCCGGCGCTTGGAGGGGGCCCGGCGCGTCTCGCCGCTGCTCTCGGCCCGCCACCTGCAGCAGGCGCAGCCGGGGGCGTCGCCGGAGGAGCCGCGCCTGCCGTCGGGGCGGGCGTCCTTGTGGGTGGGGGCGGAGCACCAGCAGGTGCGGCTCTTCCGCCCGTTGTTGCCGCTGCCGGCGCTCCTCCGCCGCCTGGAGGCGGGCGGCTCCGATGCTCGCACGAATCCTGTGGCGCATGATGCTACTGGCCAGCGGTTTCGCGAGTTCAGAGATGCAGCGCCGCTCATCACAGAAGATCCGTGGCCAGACTGGCCTATCAGAGGCCCTCGAACGACGTCGTTGGATTGTAGATTCATTTTGACTAACGGAAGAACTCCCTTGGGACGGCACAACAGGTGGCGCGCGGATTGTAAGCTTCAGCCGGGACATCCAGGCGTCGACTCCCGTGAGGGAGGCTGTAGGCTTCTGACTCTCGCTTGTCATGATCAAGTGAATGCGCCAAACATAGCTGCTGCTGAGATAGCTGCTCGGGAGACACAGGTCGCCGAAGAGCGATATCGCAACAAGGTCGCAGGTGGCAGTGGTGAGAGGCTGGATTCTAACCTTGCTAGGGGCGCTGATCTGGTGCGCGGGAATCTCTGCGTCATGCCTGAGCTCACTCAGTTGATCGCCAAGTGAACTCGCCACAGAATATGCAGTTATGAAGGAGCGTCGGAAGGCGCGCGATGAGCGCGCCCTTGCGCGCCCAAAGAAGAAGGGCAAGGATCAGGAGCAGGGGTGATGTCACCCTCGCCAGCCCTGCCCCTGGCTGGCATGCATGCTCGCGCTGGAATTAGTTGCGCTGAGGCGGGTTTGCAGTGCCCGGGGCGGCGCAGAGATATGTGTCCTCTGCCTCTTCCGAGCTGCCAGGGCCCCCCTCGCCTTGGGACATCGCTCCCACGCGGGGCTCACCGCAGGCTGGCTAGGAGCTCGCATGCGATAGACTGGGTCTCGGACGGCGCGACATGTCTCAACGAACGTTTTGGCTTCAGCACCCCGTCGTCTTCGGCGCGGAATGCCAGTCAGGCGGCGGCTCTTAGCAGCATTGAGTCGGTTTATCTGAGCGCGCCGCCGCCCGGCGACCCCGAGTCTCGCACGGGGCCCTCGACGCGCCCATTGCCGGAACAAGCTCTTCCTCGGAAGAGGCCTCCACCAAACGGCCGCGCGTCAAAAGCAAGGTCTCTTGGGCTGCGCGAGGCAACGCTCCTACCTGTCTCTCAGACTGCCTCGTTCAGGCCGGCTCGAAGTGGCTCGGCCTCTGGCGCGATCATATGCTAAGGTCGCCTGCTGCCGCGGATTTGCCGCGTGCGGAGCTGTGCCCGAACGGCCCCTACACCGACCCGGTTTTGAAGAGCAGCCGTCTTGCCCACGGTGATTTTGTCTCTGAGATGAGGCAACGAGGGATGAAGAGGCATCGCAGGGCTGCCGGTCGGGGCGCAACTGTCGGAATGTTTTTCGTCGCAAAAAATCAGGCGACATCGGGCTCAGATTTGATACCCGGGCCGCGAATGCAAGTTTTGTCGGCCCCCTTCGGACTCGCCCTCCCGCCCCCGGGGCTTTCGCAGGCTTTGAGAACGTGGGTCGGGGCGCCTTCTCCGCAGCCGGGGACATGGAGCGCGCGTTTTATATGCTCGCCATTGCAGAGGGACTCGATGAAATGTTCAGGCTTCCAGCTATCGCAGCCAGGCGCTCAGGCATCGTCGACTTCGATGGCTCGCTGGTCGCCCCGAATGGCATGATCGCTCCGCGTGTGCACGTGCCCCCCATGGGACGGTCTTGGGCGTTACATACTTGTCAGGGTGTACTTCAGCGTGCCATCGAGCTCGAAGGATTCGACTCGTCCCGCATCATCGAGGACGGCTTGCCTGCTGCATCCCTCTCCCAGCGCTCAGACACGGCCAGTGCGGTATACTTGGATAACTTCATGACCTTGGGCTCGGATCGACGGTCAGTGCAGTCCGGCCTGGGCGGCGCGCGCAGGCGCTTGGAGTCTTGGCCTTTCTGCGCGCAAGCAGAGCACCGCGAGTCGCGACGTCTCGTTCGTGGGGTTGGGCTTTAGCGAGGGGCACAGGGCATCCATCTAGCCGAGCAACACGCGGCGCCTCAGGCGCGGCGTCGAGTCGCTGCTGAGACGGGAGTGTAGCGGGTCGGCGCTCCAGGTCGTGATGGGTCATGTGACCAGGGCCGCTCTTCTTCGTCGGGAGGTGCTCTCGCTGTTCGGCGCGTCTTACCAGCGCATGCAAGCTGCCGGCGAGCGTCCGCAGAGGATCTGGCCGCGCGCGCGCCAGGAGTTGTGGACCTTCCGTTCTATCCTGCCTCTCCTCTTCACAAAGATCGACACCCATGGCGTGACGTCGTCGCGGCCTCAGACGCCTCCCTCTCCGGCATCGGAGCGTGCACTCGCGTTGCGTCGCCGGACAAGGCTAGCGAGGTAGACAGATAGTTGTGCGGAGCGCTGGAGATACCAGGTGGCCAGCGCTGAGCGCGCCAGAAACATGCGTTGGAGCGTCTTGATAGCAGTCATCTCCCAGTCGACGGTGATCGCAATCTTGGGCCTCCGATTCCCGGGCCTGTTCAGCCACCTGCGGGGCCCCCACGCGGCGCCAGAGGGACCCCGCGTGGCGCCACGCCGGTCGAGGGCATCGAGGATCTCCAGAAGTTCCTAGAGGCATCGGAGGCCGTGTTCGAGGAGGTACCAGAGGACGTGCTGAAGGGGGGCCCTGGGTTACTGCAGCGATCGCTTCAAAGGTTCTAGTGGATGCCAGTATACTAGAGCTCGAGGGGCAGGCCCTGATGGCGGCCGCCAAGCGTATCCCGAGGTCGTCGGAGGCTTTCAACCGCCGCGCGGCCCTGCTGGTGGATAACCCACCGTTGGCGCTGGCGGCCTGCAAGGGCCGAGGGGCATCGCATCACCATGTGCATCCCCTGCGTAAGCTGGCCTGCTTATCGTTGGTATCTGGCACGCGTTTTCACGTACGTTGGATCCCGTCAGAGGTGAACCCGGCTGATATCCCTTCCAGAGGCAAGCTGGGCTGCTTCGCGGGCCCTCACATGCATCCTCGTCCTGCTGGGCGCTGTCTTGGCTCCAACCTCGAGGGTGCGGGCGAGCTGGCGGTCCAGCCGGCGCACGCCACTGCGCCCGATCAGAGCGTTTTGGCGGCTCCTGCGGATGGCGCCAAAGTTCCTGCCCGGCAAGCGGCATCGCCAGCGGGCGAGGCCGGACTCGCGGGCGGGCGTGCTGAAGGCGCATCGGGCGGCCTCCGTCTCGCCTCGCGGTGGCTCGCACTCCGGTGGGCAGCCTCAGCCCACTGGAGAGCCCGGCTGCGACGCCGGGCACGGAGCTGCTGCACGCGGGCGCGGCGACGCTGTTCCCGTAGCACTGCCAGGGCATGGGCGCGGATTGTCAGTGCGCCGGCGAGCTGGACCCCTTGCTGGTCGCGTTCTTCAACGCGCAGTTTCTGCAGGGAGCGAGCGTCGAAGACGGCTCAAAGCTCATGACAGGTCCGTCGCCTCTCATCCCGGAGCTGCACAAGATGACGACGTAGAAGCTGCCGCGGGCCAGCCGCTGCCTGGTCGCCTAGCGCCAGAGGATCCCTCCGCGCACGCGGCTGCCGCTGCCCCGCGAGGCGGCGTTCGCTCTGGCTGGGTGTCTCCGCCACCTGAGCCCCCCTCGCATGTGCCTCTGGGTGGTGATCACGTGCGTGGCGTACCTCAGGCCCCACGAGGCGTTCTTGCTTCGCGGGAAGCACCTGGTCGCCCCGAAGGTCGTCGCGCCGTCCGGTTGGAGAATGCATACGTCGGCCCTTACAGCCAAGGCTTCTAACTTGCGCCAATCAAGCTGTAAAGCGTGCTGCTGCCCCATACGTTGCACGGCATGCATGTGCGCCTCGGCTGATGCGCCAGAGGGGGCTAGCAAAAGTGTGTCGTCTGCGTATACAAGTTCATGCACGTGCATGCCCTTATTCAGATATGGATCGGCCTCTCCGTTACATCGCGCAACAAAGTGGTCATCAATATTGCGAACAAGAACGGAGAGAGCGGGTATCTCTGATTGATGCCGAATGCTTGTGGATGCTCTACCGATGTGTTTCCAGCCTCCCTGACGATGCCTGCTGCGATTTGTGTCAATTCAAAGCCCCCTGGAAAAAAAAGGCAACAAGAATAGCTGCGTGGCATTGGGGCACCCCGTCATCCCTTTGTAAGCGCTGTTCTGGCAAGCGTGGCTTTTGCAGTCTAGCTGATAAACGCCATATCGAGTTGTCCAGTTATGTTCCTGGAGGGCGCAAGGGGACCAGCATCGCCACGTTTTATCCGGTTCAGCTTGCCAATGTAACCGCAAAGAGCATGGTCCTTGCTGCTGAGATTTTAAAAATTTACAGGCTGAAAGGTATTTCACTGTGCCTGTAATGCGGCCAAGTTTGGCCAGTCTTCCAGTGCGGGATGGGGTGCTTGGCGTCCAGATGCTCAGTATCGATCGCTCTCTGGCCCCTCTTGCAGCTGCAGTCTGAATCTCGACAGTGGCGGCCCCAACGTGGTGCCTTCGCGCTCGCCTCGGGATATAAACCATCGTCTGGTCAGAGTAGAGAGCGCCCGGGCTGGATGCGTTCACCACTTTAAGCCGAGTAGTGTCGCATCTGGCCGCAGGAACAGTGTTCCGTAATCCTTAAGGTTCCCTCCCACCCCTTTTCACTGCCCGCTTTCGAGTAGAGAGCACCCGGACTGTGTATACATATATATATATATATATATATGTATATATATATACACATACATACATGCATGCATGCATGCATGCATGCATACATACATACATACATGCATACATACAAGATTGCAGCGGCGCTTCGCGCCATGCACCTTGGTCCTTGAAGTTTGGCATCCAGGCGGAGTAGCAGGAAGGCCAGGCCGACAATTTAGCGATAACTCCTTGTTGCCTTTTCCGGCATCGCCGCTATAATCATGTTTTTCGTTATCCTTCCCCCATGGTGTTTCCCTTATGTTCGCCATACCCCGCGCATTCTCCCATCCTCCTCAGCTCTTTTTTTGCGGAGGCTCCTCCTTGGAGGGCTTCTAGGGGCCTCACAAAAGTTGTTTCGGGCTTTCTTTTGGCCTTCTGGAGGCCTCCTGGGTGTATTTTGGGGAGCCTCCGGGGGCTTCCTCGAGCTACCCTGCCTCCAACCGCGGTCTCCGTGAGCGACCGAATCACGATTTGGAATTATTCGGAGGGTGTCTTTGGGCCATCTTGGGCCGCCATGGGGCTCTCTGAGGGCCATCTTGGACCCGTGTTGTGCCGTTTGGGGGCTCTCTTGGTTGCCTGGAAGCCCTTTCGGATTGTTGTGGGGCGATTTTGGAGCCTCCTAGGCGACTTCGGACGCCCAGAAGACTGCCGGCTTGAAGCGCCGGGAAGCCGAAAAGAGGATAACCCCAAAATGACCGGACAGCTCGCCCCTTGGCCCCCCGCCAGCCCCAAGCCAAGGGGCGAGCATATATACGGGCGCAGCACCGCGCTGGATGCGTAGCCGTCGGCTGGGCCAACCAAGCGAATGACGCATCGCGTGGCGGCTGGATGCCCGCGCCGAGCACAGCTCTTCTCGGCTCCTCCCTCCTCCTCCTCCTCCTCCTCCTCCTCCTCTCCTCCT